CCCCCTACTACTACCCACATCCCCCCAAGATAATTATCAACTTAATAAAAAACCAACTAAATGTCATTTAAAATGCCCCATAAAATCGCATAAAAGCGCATAAAGTGCCCCGCACACACATCATGGTAGTGGTAGTACTGGTTGTAAATATGCTCGTGCTCAACATGCACTCAATGAATGAAATGTGTGCACAATGTTGAAAATAGTTGTGACCCCTCAAAAACCCATCCTACCCGCCTAAAGCGTGGGTGTTTTGCCTCCTTGCCTCAAATGCTTCAGTTGTTGCACTGCAATTGTTGTTGTTCATGCGCCTGGTGTGGCATGTAGTGAGTGGTGCAACAACGTTCGCCTTACATATGTGGACAGCACTTAGAGCATGATAAATGGATGTTTGCCTTAAAAATACTAAAAGAAATGGTGCTACTTTTATGGAATAAAACAAATAGAATAGGCAGAACCAAGTTTAATTCCATTTTAGAGTTATTCTTTGCTTTGGGTTTTTAAATAAGCATTTTACAAACGTTTCCTAAATATCTTAAAAAAGAAACTCATGAAGACATAGATGGAGATGGTCTGAAATAATCAAAACTAGGTGGCGCCACTCCCTAGTCCCCAGCGACCCATGGCTACATTAATAACAAAATTTTTGTAACTTTTCATGATTTTTATTAAAGTCAATTTACAAATATAAATATTTTTAAGATAGATGTTGAAATCCAATAGGAAGTGATCTGCAAATAGAGAAAAGAAGCCATTAGTTAACTTGTATTAAGTAAAAACATTTTTTTAATTTTAAATGACTGTCAGTTGGGGAATTCTTTATAGACAGCATGATTTTCTTAGTTGATTATCACGGAAGAATATTTCATCATTTAAAATTAGAAATAAAGAAAATAAATTTTATAATTACCTTAGCACTTCCGACAAGAAAACAAATGCCAAGCCAAGTGTCTGGGAGTCACCTGCAAAGAAGGAATTACTCATTAGTATTGTTTAATTCCTTTTTTTAATTTCTATTCTTTAAAATAATTTATCAGTTGGGAAATTCGATAAAGCAGCATGGTTTTCTTCTAAGAAGACAACGGACGAATGTTTCCTCATTTAAAAATTATTTTATAGGTATTTTTATTCTTTTAATATTTACCTTGTAAACTTTAAGACTATTAGTATTATTGTCATGTAGTCATCATCCAAAGTGCTTCTAAAACAAAAATAAAATAAGGTATTAGTTTAATGAAAATAACTACAAGTATAAAATATATTTTAAATGATTTTTCAGTTGGGGAAAGAAGACATATTGAACAGCATGGTTTGTCAGTTCGAAAATCCAACAAGGGTGTTTTCATCATTTAAAATAATTTATCCAAAATATTTAAAAAATTATGCTTACCTTTATTTTTAACAGACTTTAATAGGATTTTTTAGGCGATCTAAAAGAAAAAAAGAACAAATACTATATTATTTGAAACCAATAAGGTTAGGCTTTATTTTTTAAGAGCTTTGCTTCAGACAGGGAAATGTGGACAGCACGGTTGTTTTAGGGTTCTACTCAGAAGAGGGAATCCTGAGTGGATTATATCATCATTAAGCTCTTTTTTTAAAATAAAACTAGCTGGCTTATTTCTAGCTTACCTATAATGGAGACTTTTCCCTTTCACAGTGATCATTTGAATATTAGAATCTGAAATTCAAAATAGATTATATAAACACACTAATAAAAAAATATTAAAAGGTTTAAGCTTTTGAGCTGATCAGACAGGGAATGTGGACAGCACGGTTGTTTAGGGTTCTACTCAGAAGAGGGAATCCTGAGTGGATTATATCATCATATACAACGCTTTCTGTCCATATACCTCTATAACATGCTTACCTATTAAAGGCTAGTTTTTCAGGAAATTCTGCTCTCTATAGTTGATGATCATATCTGCAATAGAACAAAGAAAACATTAAATAGTGTTTTTATTAAAATATCAGATATGTATTTATGAATGATCAGCTTCGAAAAGATTGTAACATGTGTAATTCTAATGAACTATACTATGAAGTAACATCATAGAACAATAAGAGGTCGTTTTGAGTTTGAAAACTTACCAAATAAGGTTTCTTTTCGGAAAATGTCCCAAAACAAGAGCCAAAAAAGGAGCTGAAAGAAATAACTCTGGTTAGGATTATCTCGAAGGTATAACAATTCAATATTTTTAGTGTTAAATATCAGAAATATTTCTCCGCATTTTCCACTCAGTAGAACGAAAGTTAATAGATAAAAGGTATTCATCATATCAACACAAATCATATCGAAAAAATTGAACTAGCCCTTACCTATGATTTGAATTAGACCATCATTTACTTGTAATGAGGATTCCAGTCCATAATATTAAGCCTAAAACAGAAGAAATTATATTTTTTGGACAGCATTTTTTTGGAAATGTGGACAGCACGGTTGTTTTAGGGTTCTACTCAGAAGAGGGAATCCTGAGTGGATTATATCATCATTAAGCTCTTTTGGAAAATAAAACTAGCTAGCTTTTTTCTAGCTTACCTATAATATAGATGCCTGGAGACTATTTCCATTCGCAGTGACCATCTGAATATAAGAATCTGAAATTCAAAATAGATTATATTAACACTAATAAAAGAATATTAAAAGGTTTAAGCGTTTGAGCTGATCAGACAGGGAATGTGGACAGCACGGTTGTTTAGGGTTCTACTCAGAAGAGGGAATCCTGAGTGGATTATATCATCATATACAACGCTTTCTGTCCCTTTACCTCTAGAATATGCTTACCTATTAAAAGCTAGTTTTTCAGGAACTTCTGCTCTATATATTTGATCATCATATCTGCAATAGAACAAAGAAAACATTAAATAGTGTTTTTATTAAAATATCAGATATGTATTTATGAATGATCAGCTTCGAAAAGATTGTAACATGTGTAATTCTAATGAACTATATGATGAGTAACATCATAGAACAATAAGAGGTAGTTTTCAGTATAGAAACTTACCAAATAAGGTTTCTTTTCGGAAAATGTCCCAAAACAAGAGCCAAAAAAGGAGCTGAAAGAAATAACTCTGGTTAGGATTATCTCGAAGGTATAACAGTTAATTTTTTTGTAGTGTTAAATATCAGAAATATTTCTCCGCATTTTCCACTCAGTAGAACGAAAGTTAATAGATAAAAGGTATTCATCATATCAACACAAATCATATCGAAAGAATGGAACTAGCCCTTACCTATGATTTGAATAAGACCATCCTTTACTTGTAATGAGGATTCCAGTCCATGATGTTAAGCCTAAAACAGAGGAAATTATATTTTTTAGTAAAAAATTTCATATAAATTAATATTTTAAAATAATAATTTTAGTTCAGTTGCAAAAAATGCAGCCATAATGTTTTTAATCAAAGAAATCTTACGGTAATTACATTCATCATTTTAAATATTTTAATGAAAATTGGTTGGTAATCTTACCTTATAAAGAAGTAGTTTTAATCTTCTAGGATTGGCGTCTTTTTCTTTCAGACATCATCTGAAAACAAGATTAAAAGTGTTACTTAAGAAATCGCTAGGCTTAAACCATGTTTCTGATAGCCAAAATTAAATCAGTTGCAAAAATTGCAGCCATTTGTTTATAATCATAGACATCGTACGGTAATTACTATCATCACAAGAATTTTAAATTTGGCATTTCAGCATTTAAGTAGTGAAAATACCATTATTTTAGTTCGATTTCTTGGCCATAGTGGTTTTCATGTCCAAGCCAATCTATAAATAAGAGAAAATATTTTGTTAGCTAGGCTATTATTAATTATTTAACAAAGCTTGTTGAATGTGTTTTTATTTTTCAGAATCCTTTTGGTTAATTTTAAGTTGTGAATCAACAGCACTTTGTTCAGATTGAACTTATCATCAGTTCATTTCTTAAAATATAGCATTTAATATTTAAAATTGAACATACCTTGAGCACGTGTTTCTCCGAAAAGAGGGTGCATCTTTTGAACTCAAACTGCGGCTGAGACGAACCTGTAATAGAAATTCCTCTATTTAGTGCAAGCCATAAAAATATTCATCAGTAACGTGTCACAAATTAGTTCTCAGAATCCTTTTGGTTAAATTTTAAGTTGAAAATCAACAGCACTTTGTTCAGATTAAACTTATCATCAGAAACAATAGCAACATAACCTAATGGAGGAAGAAGAGGAGGTACCCACCTATGGAGCTCCATACCGGCAATGTCTTCGACCACGTGGTTTCATCTTCAGCTGAAAATAAGAGAAATGGTTAGCTTCATAAAGCGTAAAAAGCATTCAAACGCTTTGTGCTTGAACAGATTCATCAGTTGGCCGTTCTTATTCTTTCTACAAGAAATGAATGCCGATTCTTACGAACCGGCACTCGACTCTTCAGAAAAAGAACATTCATCAAAGAATCCAATATATTTGAAAGAACCTTGAGACATGTACCTTTTTAATCCAGGCATTTTAATTGCATCCTTGGTGATTATCAGCTTTTATTGAGCTTGTGGAACACTCCATCACTGTAAGTCTGCATTAACAAAGTCATTTTTGTTTTATCTTTAAGGAGCACGACCGCTCAGGAGAAAAATTTGTTGAAAAAGAAATATATTCAAGTAGTTGTCGAGAATATAAGTTTCGATAATTTCCCAAAGTGGTATTTTTGATATATATTTATATGGTCATATTTTTTTTCGGTAAAATACCGTATTTATCGATCTATCGATAATATGGGAATTTAAATACTCCCCATGTAAACATTGCGACGAATCGCAAGGTAATTTAAATATGAGTTTTATAAATTAAATAAACATTTTTAACTTTTAGCTTTATTTCATAATAAATTATTATTTACAATTTTTATTTATCTTCATAATTAGCGGGTAATGAAAAAAGTGATTCATTGAACTAGTTCCAAATTTGGAACCTCAGCCCTCGTTGGAGTAACGATGGAAATGTAAACAAATGCGAAGCTAAGAAGTAAAATGGATCACTGCAACGAAAAACTTCTGCTTGGATTGGAGGAGGACGATGCTGAGCCTGCGGAGCAACACCCTCGGTGCCAGCATGGACCCACGGTTTTGTTCTACCGGCAATCACAGCTTCCAAGTCAGGGATACTTCTCCTGTTCCGCACACAGAGATTCAAAGCTGTGCAATTTCCACCTACCTGCAGATCAGTGGACTGGCTATAAATCTAATGATTTACCTCCTAAAAAGGAATATCCAAAGTCCCGCAGTCCACGCGATCCTAACATATTCGAAGATCCCACCAAAAACCTAACCGCTTTATCACAGGATAAGGTTAATGCTCAGTACTTTTTCGATGAAGCTGCTGTGGACTTTTTAGTGGAACAGTGCAAAAATTTGGCCATAACGTAAGATACCATAGCAATCATCTCTACAATTATTTATTGTTAATATTCCTATCTTAGGAAAGTCGTCTGCATGGGGGCACCTCGCTTACATTTTCGCCTCCGGAGTGAATTCTCAAGCTTCCTCCTCGACTTGGATGAAAGATTTGCTGAGCACCTGGAAGCCTCTGAGTTCTGTTTATATAATATGTGCAATAATCACTTCTTCTATAATCGCAAGCCTTTCGAAGAATTCCTGCTGTGTCCCATGTGAGTCATTTTCTCTTAATTTTGTAGCTTTTAATTGAAAAAGTGTCTCTCCAGGTCCGAAAAATTGTTAATAGTAACCGATCCTCCGTTTGGTTGCCGAACTGAACTGATTTCGCATACTCTGCGCTCCCTGAGAAGACTGCACAATAAAATTAATCGGCTGCCATCTACACCTCTGCCCATATTCTGGATATATCCATACTATTCTGCTAACCACATAAAGCAGGAAATGCCAGAGATGGAGATGTGCGAGTACCGAATAAACTACACGAACCACCTGAGGTACACGAACGTGGGAAAGCAGAGTCGGTTTTGCGGCTCACCCGTCCGCCTTTTTAGCAATGTTCCCATGAACTTACTACGGCTACCTCTGGAGGAAGGTTATAAATACTGTGAAAAGTGCGACTGTTATACCGCTCGGGAGAATCTTCACTGCGATCGCTGTCAAAAGTGCCCCTCGGTAAACGGCCAGACGTACAGGCATTGCAATTTCTGCGACACGTGCGTCAAGCCTAACTACGTGCACTGCTCCAACTGCCGAAGATGTACCCAACGGGAGGGTCATGATTGCTCCTTCTACCAAAGCAAACAGCTCTGCTGGCTATGCGGCCAAAGAGGTCACATCGAAACTAGGTGCCCTTATCTCAAACTGCGAAAATCCCAGTCTTCGCAACACGGATGCCTTTTATGTGGCAAAAATAATCACAAAGAACGTACCTGCAGTCTACGACGAAAGTACTTTAAGGAACTGGAGTTTATGGGTAAAACTGTGACTCAGCGAGTGTAGGATTTGTTGATAATAATAAAGTTATTCAAAAACACAAACATTTTTTCAATACAAAATTTATTTGTTCTTAACACTTTTCGTTTGTCTTCATAAAAATTTTGAATTGCAATTGAAACCACGATAAATTGTGGAATGAATGCTCCGCCCGTCTCTCATACACGAAGCTAGCGCACAGGAAGGTTACGACGAAATTTGGAAAATATGCATTACGTTTAGTTTAGGCTTTAACGTCGACGGGATGTGGTTTTAACTTAAGCTTAAGGTATAATTAATTTCATGTGGAAAACACTTCAATTCCAATCCTCAACTAAACAGGCGGAATGCAGAAAGTTATGTTCTGTTGTTATCGTCGTGAAAGAAATGATGACGTCGACACACTGCTCACGTTCGTTGAGGTGAAAGTATTTTATTGGCTATGAATGAATTGGCTTAGGAGCGGTTGTATTTGCCCCAGATGTGCAGCATGAAAACGGAAGCGATGAACAGCAGCGACATGACCAGGACGGGCACGGGACCGCTAAAACGATAAAGGAAATGGAAGGGGCTGGTCACAAACTAGCCGAACATTACCACATTGCATGAATATCTTACACTTTGATGCCGGGGGAATCGTCGGTGTAGAATCGCCACATGCCACCGGTGCCGGCTCCTCCGGGCGCACGGCTCCTGGCTGCCGTAGTGCTGCTGGTGGTCTTGCGCTGTTTCAGGGTGCTGCCACCGCCAGCTCCGGAGCTACGTGGCGCTGACAGTTTGCTGGGCGAGCGAGATCCGCTGCCCACGGATGTTGAACTTGCAGGAGCGGGCTATTCAGGGCATGTTTATTAGTACCTTTCACTAAATTCTATTCACTTTAACTCACCATTTTAATTTACAATTCTTGAACCAACAAACGAGACGAAGTGCTGTACAAAAGTGAATTAGGGGGGTACCTGTTCTCGTATTCGTGTCACTCTTGTCGTATTTTTTCGACTCTCATTCCACGTCATTTTTCGATAGCTGTCAAAAAGTGGCAGATTGAACTATCGATATTTTTTTGACATCAGCCCGTAGAGTTGCCAGCTTAAAATACTACTTTTGTTTTGAAACGAACAACTTGAATGCCGCGGAAAAAAAAATATTTATTTAACGCTTAATATAGATGGTCAGCGATTATCCAGATTTATGAATCTTAGTTAATAAATGATAAATGGGGAATGACGGGGAGCAAGTTCCACCTAACTAAAATGTATTTTAAAATCTTAAGAAAATAAGAAAAAAAGTTTAAAAGCTTAATAAATTTTACAAAATATTCTCATATGTTGCATATATTCCAAATAGCAATGTACATTTTTACTTCCAGTTTTGAAACCCAAAAAATAAAGAAAATTGAAAATATTTCGACAGGCAGCTATGCTTTTGATGCCAGTGTTGGAAAATCCGGCAACAGCGTCTAGCGTCTTCCCATGCAACCCTGATCGGAGGGTATTGTTAGAACTGAAAGAAGCGCCATTCGCAAAAAAAAATGAAATAGATTCCAGTGCAAAAGAAGAATTTCCCAATAGTATTAATTATTCTATAAATACCAATATCGTTGTGCATCAAGGCTGATACTTTTTCACAGTAAACGCGATTTGCAATCCAAAGCGCGGGCCCAAACAACGCCTAGGTATTTTTGCGCATCCCCACTACGTTCACGCTACTGCGGCGGCAGCATTTTTGCTACAAAATTAGAATCTTTCTGTGAAAAAGAAAAGTTAAGTGGCTTGCTTGAACAGTGCAAATGGATAACGTTGTGGTATTTAGTGCCCAGAACTGATTTTTATTGTTCGCGAGGCTTCCCTTTCTAAAACCGAAGCACTTGCCGGGGTCCTTTTTCTGCAGAGATTAAAAACGACGCACAAAAAAACTGAAAATGGAGGATATCGAATATTTGGACGAGTACAAAGATTTAGTGCTGCCAGGTGCGTTTTTTCGCGATATTGTTCAATAGTTCCGTTAACACGTAAGGTAATGTGCAATTTGCAGTTGCAGGAATGAAAATTGGCGATGTGCGTGCATCATCAGCAGCTGCGCCGGCATCGTCTTCCGGTGCCCCCCGACGGCGTCGAATATCATCTGACTCGAGCAACTCCTCGTCGATTGATGCCGACATATTCCAGAAGCTGTTCCACGGCAAGATCATCGACGATGAACTTTTCAATGAAAGTGAGTTTAGTTTTTCTCCAATATATAGAGTATTACAACAATTGCGAAATTACGCAGGTGAAGTAAAGCCGAAAGGTAGGCATCCCTTAACCTCCTCCTCCAGTGACGACTCAAATGATGCCTTGGACGCGCTGTTCAATACACGCAGAGGAGTAAAAGCGAAGCCTCACAAGCGCCGTGAGCGCTACGAGTCCTTCGATTCAGGGGATGATTTGGGTAGGTGAAATAAAGACACCATTTCAATTGGCTTATTGGCAGCCTCAAACAATACTTGTATTTTTCCCAGGCGAAACCTTGATGCGAAACTCACATCGGCCGACTGTACTCTCCAAGCCCAGTACTTCACAGGCAGGTGCCGGTTTCGGGAGCCACCAGCTAAGTAAAGCCACTGGAGCCGCATCCACTAGCAAATCTCACTCCGGAGGGGCTTCCTCCAGCAAATCGGCTGCTGGCACCTCCAAATTTGGCGCAAAGGGCTCTAGCTCTGTTGGAAAGCAGTCAGATCCTGTGAACGGCAACGGCAGTGGCCAGCACAAGTCTGTCACCATAATAAAGGCCACAAAGACAGATTTGCGGCCGCCAAAGCACGAACCCAAAACAGATCCACTGAGTATGAACTATTGAGATATAAAGAAAGTTGGTCAAAGTTTGTAGAGAACCGATTATGATTGTCAAATTGTACAATTTATGGAAACTTTAACCAACTTTTAGCCTAGATTTTTGAATTTCAAAGACTAATATTATTTTTTGCACAGATTTGAGGGAATTCTACGAGGAATCGGACAGCGACTCGTCGTACGAATACGAATCAGACTTCTATGGAGATGGTGACTCTGAGGATGAAGACGCCGAGCCCGTGATTGACATTTCAACGGACACGAGCAGGACCACCTCAGTAGCGGGTAAGTCAGCGTTATTAACTAGTTGATACTGCCAACCCTCTGATAATATTCATAAAATGTAAACACACATAAACCGTGTAGACACCGTGACACCTGTTGTTTCCGACGACGAGGGCCTGGAGCAGCTGAGTGGGCCGAGTGAGCTGAATAAGCTGAAAGAGCGGGAGCCGATGTTGAGTTGCGCCAATGAGCGCTTGCTATCGTATTTGAATAATCTCAGTTGCGCCGAGGCGCCACCGATCTATAAGAAACAGAATAGTGCTAGGAAACCACGTTCCAATGAAAAGAAACCTTCCTCATCCACCGAACAGGTTAAGCATGCCATAGAGCAACCAGCGGGTAAGTTTGAATCAATCTCCCTTTGGGGCGTCCATTCAATGGAACATGGCGCTCGACCATGAGCGCCCCCGTGATGTCCCCAAAATTATGTCTCCACACCCTTGCATTTGTAACTTTTTCTGCTTTTTGTTTCGCAGCCAGTGGCAAAGAGGAGAAGGAGCCTGAGCCGTCGACCAGCGCTCCCAACAGCTCCTCCGCCAACCGCAAGCTATATGACATTGATGAAAGCCTCACACTCGAGACGCTGGAGCGGATGAGCCTTGACCTGGCAGAGCAGATAATGGAGATCGATGTTGAGCGTTCCTATGAATTTGAAAAGCGCTCCGGCTCCAAGCCGCGCAGTTCATCCAAATCGAAGCAATCGGCAGACCCATCGAGTAATCTCAGTCAGAGTCATGTGCGCAAGCTCACCTACTCCAGCGAACAGCTGGATAACTGCGAGTCAGAGAGGCAACAACTGCGTCGGGCTAAAAGTGAATCAACATTCTCCAAGCAAAAGCGCGGCAAGGGACAAAAGCGCAGCAAAAATCGAGCTGCTACCACGGAGGAAAAGGTGGGGACACCGCAAACAGGGGAAACTACGGTAGTGAAGAGGAAACGAGGGAGACCCCGTAAACATTTCCCAAAAGAACCTGAAGTTTCTGTGTCAGCTTCTGAGAATAAAAAAGATTTGGAGGAGGCCGAGGAGCCAAGCACTATTATAGATACTAAGGAAACGGAGGGGCCAAAGGACACAGCGGAAGAGTCGAAAGAGGAGGTGGAGCCAAAGCCTGAAAAAGTAGAGGAAGAGTTAGATAACGCCAAAGAGTTAACGGAATTTACAACCTCGTCCCAGAAGGATATTAACATGACAGTAGCTGAGGATCTCAAAAGTGCTCTGAATGAAGATTTGGTGGAGCCTGATATAGAATCGGCGGAGAGCACTGAAAACGGGCCGCATCCGGCACGGAACACACCAACTGAATCGCTAGATGAGGTGAACTCCAATGATAGCGAGTTGAACCAAACTGTAACTGATGCCCCTGAAATAAAGGATAAAGAAATCTTGTCAAAGAATGATGAGCCAGCTGTAGAAATGGAAGCTCAGGAGGACCCACCCAAAGAAGATGATGTTGGGGAACCATCGAGTATTGAAGATTCTTCTAAAAATTGTAATGATGTAGAAATGTCGGTTGTTTTGGGTGATGCCATGGACGTTTCTGCCAATCTTGAAGTCGCGGAGGAAACCCAAAACATGCAGGAGGTTAGCGACTCTCAGCTTGCTGAAGACATCAAACTGGCGGAAGAGATCCTCGCCGCCGAAGTCGGAAAGGGAGTTGAAGTAACCGAAGCCACTGGTACCTCGGTTCAAGGGCAAGAAGATCCGGTAACTGAGATAGTCAAGGAGTTAGAGCTGGAGACTATTTCGGAAGTGGTAGAGAAGTCTGAAGAACAAACTGCACTGGCAGAGCAGACCCCACTCAACGAGGAATCTCCATACGAAGTAAATCCCCCAGTTTCCGAAGAGGAACCTCTTACCGAGGAGAGCCCTCTAGTTGGCGAAGCGCCCTTGGCACCAGGAGAACTCATTCCAAAGTTAGATACTCAAACGCCATTATCCCCAGCTGTCACACCAAAGAAATCGGAAGAAACGGCTTCGGGAGAGAGCTCTGTGGCTCGTCGCACTCTGCGGTCGGATAGGCCTCGATCTAGTCCTCTGCAAGATTCTACTCCCGTTAAGGAACACGAAAGCCGTTCCAAGCGACCGATTAGGAGCGACATATCATCTATTTTGGAAGAGCCATCGAGGAGGAACAGCCCAAGACTCGGAAGGTCGCCAGCGGAGAGCCAAGATCGGTCGCCGGCGGAGAGAAAGGCGACTCCGTCCAAGATGGCTGGGGAGAAATCTGCCAAGAAAACTAAGAGAGGTGTAGACAGCACACCGGCTTCGAAAAATAAGACTGACCAAATAAATGCGAAGAAGGAGGACGAAAATACTTTAGAGGATGAAAAGCCCAACCCAAGTGAGACTGAAACTGAGAAACCTGAAAAGGGTAAAAGTTTGAAGCCGAGAAAGTCTTGTAGCTCTCAGAGACCGCTGTCGAGTAAGTCGCCAAAGCCTGATGGAGAAAATGTACCTTCTTCAGACACCGAAAAGGTGATGGAAGACAGTAAGGCTGAAGAAACCCAAAGTTCTGAATCAGAGAAACCTGAAAAGGGTAAAGCTTTGAAGTCGCGAACTTCCTACAGCTCTCAAGGACCACTTTCGAGCAAAACTCCAAATCCTGATGGAGAAAATGTACCTTTAGACACCGAAAAGGTTATGGATGGTGAGGAAGTAAGTAACGCTGAAGATGCTCTCGGAAACGATACCCAAAGTTCTGTATCGAAGAAGCCAGAAAAGAGTAAAAGTTTAAAGCCGAGAAAGTCTCGTAGTTCTCAGAGACCACTGTCGAGTAAGTCGCCAAAGCCGGAAGGAGAAAATATACCCTCAGGCACTGAAAAGGTTACAGATGATGAGAAAGTATATAAATCTGAAGAGTCTATTGATAAAGATATCCAAAGTTCTAACAAAACAGTGGAAGAAACACCGGAAAGTTTGGAAGAGAAACCAGTTAAGAGGAGCAAATCTCGAAAAGGGCGAAAGAAAGAAACTAAAGTGCTTTCCGATCAGCAGACAGTTGGGGATGCATCTGAGAACCCCGAAGGAAAAGAAGCCACAAGACTTACACCCAGTATCCCAGATGATAACACCCCTAAAGAAAATAATTTAGAAACTAAAAATATAGAGGAAATCCCAGAAAGTAAAATGGAAGCGCCTGCAAAGAAACCTGGCAGGAAGACTCCCAGCTCAAAATTGACATCGGAGAGATCGAAGAATCTGTCGAGATCCAGTAACCGGGATTCGGATGTGCCGTCTGATAAGGAGGAGAAGGTAACAGGCAGATTGAGTCGCAGAGACAAGGCATTGTTGGAGAATTCCGAAACTCCGAAGCCATCTCCTTCGTCCAGAAAGAAAAAGAAGCCGAAAGAAGAGGCAGTCGATGAGTCCAAGGAAAAATCTAAGGAAAGGCAGAAAGGAAATCATAAAGAAAAATCTGACAGTGACAAGAAAACAAAAGTAAGCCTTGATAAAACAGAACCTCAGCCCGAAAAACTTATGTCAAACGAGACAAAAATGGAAGAGATCCAGGATTGTAAGGTTAAAAGCGAAGATGAGGTTCCGTCCAGTGCCAAGGAATCAATTGAAGGTGAAGCTTCTGATGTGCAGCCAGAGAATACCTTGCATGATAAAGTCAATTTGGCCACCGATGCAACGGAGGTTTCAACATCCAATGAAGAACCGGAATCGGCTAAGGCAGCACTGGATTCAAAGGAAACTAGCTCCCAAAAAGTATCGAACAAACCGAAGAAAACTGCTTCTCGTGTGTTTGGAAAAATTCGAAAACGCCGCCAAGCTGTAACCGCCAGCCCTAAAGATCGGGACAACAACGACCCAGTTCCAATATCAACTCCTATTGAGTCTGATATTCCTCCGACCGAGACGGAACCAAAATCATTGTTTTCCGACCGGAAAATACCAACAAAAACATATTTAAAGCAGGATAGGAAGAAGACTCATAGTCCTTCAAGTACACCTTCCCCGAGAAAACCAGCCAAAGATGGAGATCCGAAGGATACTGATTCTACCCAAGTCACTTTTGAGACTCCAGCAGAAGTTTCAGAAATTAGTCCGAAAACGGGCCAAACTACTCCCCAAAAGTCTGAGAAACCTCGGACTTCATCCAAAACAAAACCAGCGAGTATCGCAAAGTCCATCCAGGATACACCGTCCTGCCGCAAGCTGCGCATTCTAATAAAGAGAACTCCCACTACCAAATACCAAAAAGCTCGTAAATCCCCTATCATAAGAAAAACTCCAACCAAATCCAAGCGATTCAAGAAAGTTCTACAAAAAATCGAAGAGGTGCCTGTTCCAATACCAGAGGAGCAAACGGAGCCTCCGGTTCCTGTTCCAAAGCCAGAAGAGCAAACATTACCTCCGGTTCCTGTTCCACAACCAGAAGAACAGACTGAAAATTCACCTGAAAGTGGACCTGAAGGTACTGATACACCGCCAAAGGCTTCAGAAAATGAAGAACCTCCACTTATACAGCCATCAGAGACTACTGAATCGGAAACAAATTCTTCAGAGAGTCAGTCTGGTACCAATGATGAGATTCAGGAGGAACCAAAGACCACACTGGCTACGGAAGAGGAAACCATCCCAAAGTCAGACCAAGAAACATCACCCACTGATGCTTCTTCCCCGCGTACCGTCAGCGATGTTGTGGAAGAGAAACCAAGTAGTGCTGATCCTGGTCCAGAGCTGAAGGAGACTCAGGATGAAGAATCGGAACCAGTCAAGCCAGAAGAAGCTTTAACAGAAGCTTCAGAAAACTCAGCTCCTGAAGAGATATCCCCCTTAGAAAGCGATGCTCCCACCTCTCCTATAACTCAATCGATAACAGAAACGGAGACCCTTACAGAAGAAGCTTTGGAAGACGCTCCAATTACAAGTACTACTGACTCAACAGAAATCACTCATGCCCCAGCAGACCTGCCTGATGAATCAGCAGTTGTTACTCCTGACCCAGAATCTATGGAAACCAGAGATGATACTCTTGACCAAGACTCAATGGAAGGTACTGAGGAAACTCCCATCCCAGAATCAGCAGAAACAACAGGTGTCACTGTCGAATCTGAATCGGAAGCCAGCACCTCAAGCACTGTGAAACGCAGCTTGCGCAAGCGGGAAGCGGATCCGTCCCTACCAGATGGTTAATAGCTTGCCCAATCTTTATATTTATTTCCGCATTCATTTCAGGCAAAATTTCTAACATCATTTTTTCTATCTTTCTAATTTTATTTTGTTGTTTAGAAGCTGCCAAAAGAAAGCAACAACAACTGAGAGAGAAATCCTTTGGTCAAAAGAAAGAAGCTATTAAAACAGGCAAGTGTTGCTCAGGTTTTTTTTAAAAATAATGTTTTATCATGGCCATCATGGCTTTTGTCTCATCAGATCGTCGTCGGAACCAGGTGGACACTGAAGATCGACCAGCCGTCAAACGCAACCGAGTTGATGCCGAGGAAAAGGAAAAGTTCATCTCTTATATAGGCCAAGATACCATTCTGTCATCTGTGAAGAAAACCAAGAGCGAGCCGGTCAAGACTCCGCTTTCAGCGCGAAAAACTCCAGGCGCAGCTGGCAAGAAGTCGCTAGACAAACCGCATGTTAGTGCCAACCCTGCGGGCAAGAAGCCTCTAGTGCAGACTCTATTAAGCTCCTCCCTGAATCTGCGGAAACCAACACCGGCAGACACACCTCCTTCCGGCCGGAAGTCCTTAGGCAAGGTGGAAAGCCCAGCGAGTGAGTCTGAGGAGATGACGAATCTTGGCAGCTCCGTTGTGGTCACGAAGAAGTCCTTGCCGTCAAGCAAAAAATACGAGACATCCAAGGATGATGTAGCATCTCCGGGAGTCCGAAAAGTTAACATATCTGTGTCTGTGGTAAAGTCGAAGGAAACACCAGCGGAATCTCCGTCCCCTTCGTTAGTTGTTACTCAAACATCACCAGTGGTGGAGGCTCCAAAGACGACCAGGAAATCAGAAGTGAAAACTAAAGATACACTAATATCTGCTCCTGGCAAATCGAAAGCATCACAAATAGATCCATTGAAGGCGAAGCCATCGCGAAAAGGGGACCAGGAGCTATCGAAAAAGTCGGATCCTTTGGCCTTGACTACGCCTAAGGTACCCCATCAAGCAGGCGTTGCGAAGAAAGTCGAAGCTAGGAAAACGTTTGGAGGAGCTGAAGCGTTAGCTAGAAAGTCACTTTCGGCAGGGGAGATTTCTAGGAAATCGGAGGCAAGGAAATCCGAGGGAGGAACGTTGACCTCGAGGAAGGCCATTTCCCAGTCTGAACTTTCTAAGAAGGCGGAAGCTCGGAAATCTGGAGGAGCCACCCCCAAGGAGCTGCTGGAGACTCCGCAAAAAGTTGAAGCCAAAAAGCCGGAAGAACTGCCCACTGAAGCGTCAACAGAGACTTTGAAAAATATGGAACCTGAGGAAGTCGTAAAAACAGCCACCAAAGTTACCAAGAAGACTCTGGCTGAGCGGAAGTCTGAGCTAGTGGGATCGAAACAAGGACCTGATACAATTGCTGCATCAACATCCAGAGATTCCTCGCGAGAGGACTCAGTTCGGGCAACCCGTTCGGAAAAGAACGCAACTTCAGCGCGACCACGCGCCTTGCCAGCGATTAGACAACCGGGTCACGTGACACGAGCCACCAGCACCAATAGATCCCTTGCTGCCACACCGAGCTCTGAGATCGAGGGGCCGATGATTAGAGGTCGAAGGCGTGGCAGAGGAGGGCGAGGACGCCGCATGCCAGCCCAGAAACGGAAAGCTGACGAACCCGAGGAAGCCTCTGAGCCCAAACGATCCAAGGAAACGCTCCCGCAAGAGGTTCAACAAGAGGCCACTAAAGACGTGGCATTCCCAGTTAAAATCACAGCTGCCAACCTTTCCAAGTCAACGGAAAGGTCCATTGAAACGCAGCCAGCTAAGCCTGAGCCTAAGAAGGCGAAAAAGTTATGCGTGAAAATCAATCGGCGAGCTGTTAATAAGTGGTTGGAGCAGCATGAGAAGCCTCTGCAACAATCACTGAAAAAAGGAGCTACGTCCATGGCGGTTGAACCTCCCAAAGATGCCACTGTAACCTCGGAAGTTAATCCGAAAGCCAAATCCAATGTTGTGCAGCCCAAGGATGCTTTGAATGCGGATTCGAAATCCCAGCCATCTGATTCTACGATTTCATCAGATCCATTACAAAATGAGAAAGCCAAGGAACAGCTACCTGCAGCCACGGTTCCTCCAGTACCTTCTCATGTAGCTAAGGAACCAGACTCTCAGCTTACAACATCGTTAGCTCCGGTTCCAGCGCCTGTCCCTGCTCCCCAACCAACCGCATCGGCGCCAAAAGCGGCCTCACAGCCAGTGCCCGAGAAAAGTATTCCCAAAGATACCGCCCAACGAAAGGCACCGGTGCCCACCAAGACAATGCCGCTGCCAGTGCCGATAATGGAGGTAAAGGATGAGCCGGAGGATATACCGGCTGAGCCCATAGATCAAGATGTGGCACCTATGCCCGAGCCCGTAGCTGCCCCACCCGCAATTCCTACAGTGCCGGTCCCACCAACAATCAATGGCCGCCCGGTTATTAGCATGGGCTATCCTTCGGCTGCTCCAAGGGCCCCTTCATCCATTCCGTCGGCCAGTGCTGCGTCGTCAGCTAATCCGAACGCCATTGGGCAAACGAAGATGTTTTCGTTTTTGTATCCCAATCGCTATCAGCCATCTTACGGAAAGGTTGGACTGGACTTCTGCTGCCCCAATCTAGATGGACCGATGCGCGCCATTGATCCCACTCGCCTGCACGCCAAGGCCGAGGTACCGGTGCTGGAGGTGCCCCAGTTTCTGGTCATCACAACCAAGTTTATATCGAAGGCTGACAAAAATATTCCACACAAGGTGCGCGCAAAGCTGGAGATGTTGGGAAAGGACAAGGAGCTGGACACCAGTGTCGGCATGGACTCTTCCATCCTGACTGACACGGACACTACACAGCCCGTGATTTCACCTCCTGAAGCTACTCTAGTGACTGTAGCGCCTCCCCCAATTCCACCTCATGGCTTACAAATAAATCCTCCGATGCCTGTTGGTTCTATTACATCCATCCATATCCCACCTTCTGAACCGGCTCCTTATCTGGCGTCCGCACAGGACACTGCACTCCCGGATTCACTGGACTTGTTGACGAAGCAGTTGCCCAAAGGAACTACATTGGTGAAGAAGATTGTGCCCCCAGGCACTACGATCCCATCGGCGTCGACTTCGTTGGCAGCAGCTTTGTCGGCGACTAGTACCCCAGCCCCCTCCGCCCAATCCCCACCGGCGCTCATCCAACTTCCACCGATTTTCCCGACGGACAAGCACCGCGTGGAGCTGCAGACCCGGGTGCAGATGTTCGACATGGTGTTGCAGACACTTAGTCGTCGGGTGGCTAACCTCACACTGGCTGAACGGCAACGCACCATCGAGGAGATTGTCAAGACCAGCACCCTGATGCCCATCGACGTGGATGTTGGCACTAAGCTGCTGGAGAACTACGTCCACTACTTGAACATCGCAACCAACACCCAGACACAGCTGCCCACGGTACGGACGTCAGAAGTGGTGCCAATGCCAAAAGCACCGGATGTGGTAGAACCGGTGCCGGTTCCCCCCCTTCTCAGGATGGGTGGCAAAACGACCTCGGCACCAGCGCCATCGCCGTCTCCTAGTAAGAGGAAGCCGAGTCAAAAAGAGGCGACTACAACTAACGTCCCGTTGTACGATTCGGATAAAAATATAATTGGATTCCGGAAAGTCACCAATTTTGACTCTGCTTCTACTAGTTCTCCGGCAGGAACATGCAGAAAAGGAGCAGCAAGCAGTGGATCGAAGGCAACCCCGAAAACGGTGGCTCGAAAAAGTTCTGGAGGGACAGTAAGCCAGGTAAATGACCTCGACCTATTTGCTAACCTTAAATATTAAATACGAATATAAAATCCTTAGGCGTCCAACGCTAAGACGACAACGGCAGCGACGGGGTCTGCGACTAGAACGACAAACCCCGGAACCAAGAAAAAATCGCTAACTGGTGGCACGATAATTGCGATAAATCACCCAGAACCCCCGGCAAAGATGGCAAAAACAACACCCGGAAGGACTGTGGCCCAGTCTAAGAAACCTGCGGGATCACCCAAACCAGGCACAGCTGGTGGGCGCACCACGAATCCAAAACCGAATGTGTTGATCATCAACCAGCTGGCGCAGCCGGAAGAGTGCATCCTGCCAGATTCAAACAACACTGCGGAGCCCATGGAGACGGAGATTAAGGGCGAGGTGGAAGACCCCGCGGAGGTGGTGCTCTAGCGGCGGAGAATCAGTAAACCGAGAAAAAAAGTATTTTAAGTTACTTTAACACAGTTAATTAAGCAGAGTTAATTATTTCGTTAAACGCAAGAAAGAATTACATATGTAATGCTATTATGAAAAATTTGTTGAACCCTTTAATTCATCCTGTCATTTTTTTTAAATAAAGAGGATAAATATTGTAATTTAAAACGGAAAACAATAAATTGTGTTGGTTAGAATTCGGGCCATTCATGAAATGGTGATTTTAGTGTAAATCGAATCAATAAATTTAAAAAAAATGTTTCGTATTATACTGTAATACCGTAGAATAAAAAATAAAGCAGAAATCTCAATAAGCTTAAATGGTACCCACTGGTGAAATCGACTTGAAAGCTTTGGTGTCGTTTCTCGTATAAAAGCCTAGCGGGGGAAGAACGATTTTTAGTCAAAGAATTATAATCGGCATGACAACACCTAAGGAGGAAGCTCTCAATACTCCAAACTGTAAGTTGGATAATAATATCCATAGTCCATTCCATATTATCGTTTATTTCTTCAGCTGCCTATCCAAATCTGGAGGAGAGACTGGAGACATATCTGCGAAGAATATACTACCTAAGGGACTACCACCCAACATCCAATGATTACGATCCATCTGCGGTGGAGTATTTCGGTGTCCTAAGCCTGACCGATGTTCGGGCTCCCCGCCGAAAGCTGTGGTACATGTACTATGCCACCACGGATGAACTGGACGCCACCGTGGATCACATACACAAAAAATATGGCCAGAAGAATATGTATGACCTCTACAGGAAGCCCGTGTTCAGTGGCTCCGGAATGCGTGCCCGGGTTAAAAATCACTTTTCGGCCCTGAAGTGGTACGTCAAGGGAAACATTTTGGAGGCGCCACCCGACAGCCCCTACAACGACGAGAAGGTGGTCAACACCATAGCAGATTTGTACCAGGCCGAGAGGCGGAGATACCATGATTTACTGCTAGGGAAAAACAACGACTATGCAAAGTGGAACTCCCGCTACTTGAATTGTTAAATAAAACGACTGAATAGCAGTAGAACTAGAATAGAATTAGGTATAAATAAAACTTCCCAACTAAACTGTGCTCAGTGTTCTGTTAACTTTTGTAGAGCTTGGAAGTAAAAACAATCGAAAGTTTACTGATGGGTAAATAATATGACTCATCTATGGCAAAAATACTATGATTAATAAAATTTGTAGATGAAAGACAACCCACTTTGGAAGATAAAATGGAGAAGTACTGGAGGCGCATGTTCTACCTAGATCCAAAACTGGAAGCTACACCCCTGGAGCTCTCCACATTGGAGTATTTTGGGGCTTTTAGGATTATAAGTCCAAACGATCCCAAGAAGAAACATTGGCTTATCTACAACTGCCTCCACTCGGAGATTGCAGAAAAGGTGGAAAAGGTTCGCCAAAAATATGGAAAGAAGAACGTATATGAGATTATTCGAAAACCGGTTTACAGTGGATTGGGTTTTCGAAAAACAGTTAAAGATCATTTTTTAAATTTAAGATGGAAGGCCAGTGGAAGTCTCTTGGAGGCTCCGGAAACAAGCTATTATAATGACGAACGATTTGTTAAAACCGTAAATAATTTGCTCTCTGGGAAGAATAGAAGAATTTACGACTATATAATGGAACATCATCAGTGGTTTAAACGGTGTAATGACCAAAAACCACCACCCAATATAGTCCGATTTTTTTAAGTGTGTTTTGAAATTCCGAAGCCTATCGATAAGCGTTATCGAAAGTTCTTTGAAAGCTCTTTTGACAATGTTGTGAAATTGTTAATCGAAATCGCTAACTGTTGAAATTGTTGTTAAATAAAATATTTAAGCCGCTGTAAGTCACAATTTAGTTGAGAAGAAGACTTTGTTAATAATACAACCATGACCGAGAAAGCTGTTGAAAACTCAACATCTGGTGAGTTAATTTATTATAACACCAAGGTGACTGGAATAATAAAAATTTGCTTTGCAGGTGGAACTGATTACGACCTGGAGTCAGAAATCGACAACCACCTAAGAAAGATATTCTATATAAAACCAAACGGAGTGCCCCCTAATTCCAAGCCATTCGTAGTGGAATTTTTTGGAGTTCTCAGCCTAACCGATATGCGAGCTCCGGATCGGAAACTTTGGGTCATATATCATTGCAAGCAACCGGATCTGGACAAAACCGTTGACGAAATACACGAAAAATATGGGAAGAAGAACATGTACGATCTGTTCCGGAAACCAGTGTTTAGTGGTCTAGCGCTAAGGGCTAGCGTTAAGAAGCATTTCGCCAACCTAAAGTGGTATACCAAAGGCAATGTCCTCGAGGCTCCACCAAAGAGTCATTTTAATGACGAGCGTGTAGTAAAAGCCATAAACGATCTCCACCACCTCGAGCAGCAACGTCTCTATAACTACGTCATGGTGAAGAATAATTGGTTCAAGCGATATTCATAGACTGGATCAACGAAACCCTGTGATTTAGATATAAATGAATCGTTTAAAGGTGCCTTCTAGAGTTAAATGTTGTTAGTTTAAATAAGACAAAATATAATAAATCATGTTTTATTTTATTAAAAATATAAATTGAATATTTTTTGGCAAAAAAATATTATTTAGTGACAGCGTAAGGGTTAATGAATCGTGAGCGTGTTGTCTTTGTCGCTTTCTGGTCACACTGCTGGCGGACCTCGATGTTAGGAAGCCTAAATTTAACCAAATTGAAGTTAACCGCCCTTTCCGTAATCCCATAACTGTCCTTTCTGTGAATTTTAGTAAACCCGCCCGCCTATTATGGTAAGTAGGAAGAAACATCCAACAGGCTCCTAACCAGTCAGTAAACGACTACTTCTGAACCCTTGAAGTCCTCCCCTATGACCGACGAGAGATGCTGTAGATCCCAAAATTACGACAGGTGAGCATGTTTAAAAGGCATTTTCAAAAGCCTCGGGCCTTAGTGTTGAAAGAATTTCTGTTTACAGCACTAGTTACAAACACAATCGGTCCGCTTCCTCTTCATCTGGTTCGACAGTTTCGTCCGGACATAGAGAACACTCAGGTAAATCCAAAAGGTAAATATGAAACGATAGTTTTTGGCAATACCAACACAGTAGGCTGGTCAAAACTGAAATATTCGGCTGACATTTGGGGTCTTAGATTCTCATTCAAAGCTGTCAATCAGCAGAGAAAGGTGCTTCAATTTTTAAGGAAAAACCCAACTGGAAAAACTTTTGTTGCTATGTAAGAAGCCCTAATACTTTTTCCCGAAGAATAGGTCCGAAAAAAACATTAACTGATTTGAATCTACTTAAATTGAACTTAACTATAGCAATTGTCAAGTCTCCACACCAAACACACAAATTTGCAAAAAAAAATTGTTCAAAATGCAAGCTTGCAAGAACCGATTTCAAGATAATCTAATTTCATTCCATCCCACACATAATCAAGGTCGGACGTGGATTACTATGCTAGCCGTCACAACCACAGTTCTGGATCGCGTCGTCGTTCGCGATCCTATTCACGCACGCCCTCCGGTGTTGAGTCTCCTCCGGCTCCTCGTCACCACTCCGGACGCACCTCCCGCGACCGCCAGCGTATGATTCAAGCACGTGTGAGTATCATTATCTTTACGGCTTTTTGGACGTTCCTGAAGACGTGGCCTTTGCAGGATCGCCCTCAGGCCAGTCGCTGCATTGGAGTGTTTGGTTTGAACACCTTCACTACCCAGCAGAAGGTGCGTGAGCTTTTCAGCAAGTTCGGGCCGATTGAACGCATTCAGATGGTCATTGATGCGCATGTAAGTGAACCTATTCAGTATTCTCAACCTTTGCCAAATGTATTTAGAATGCTTAGCAGCATTAAGCCTTGTTGCAAAGCCCTCCGATCTCTGGCTAGATTATATCTGAAAGCAATTATGAGTTTTTGCATATTCCTAGTCAAAAACTAAAGGCTTGCTGTCACAATCACACAGTAAAAATTGTACACGAATCAATTGAACGTTATCTTGTGGCCCAACAGACCCACCGCTCTCGAGGATTTTGCTTTATTTACTTCGAGAATCTCAGCGATGCCCGTGTGGCCAAAGATGCTTGTTCTGGAATAGAGGTGGATGATCGCCGCATCCGCGTCGACTATTCAATAACTCAGCGTGCTCACACCCCCACACCTGGTGTCTACATGGGACGCCCTTCACGGTGAGCTGTTTTTCCTTTTTATACCTTTTGGGGAAGTATTTTGAAAAGTATATTTTTAGCGGTTATATTCATCGCTCTCGTTCTCCACGTACACGACGTCGTGACCGCTCTGGTTCACCCCACGACTATTCTCGTCAACGCAACAGCTATCGCAGTGATCGCAACTACAGGAGCTATCGAAAGAGTCCTACCCGTCAACGCTCCAGCCGCTACAGTAAAAGTCATTCTCGGTCTCATTCTCCCCGTAATATTAAACCAATTTATATAATTAAATTATTATATTAATATGCATTTTTTACCTAGGTCGTCACTCTAAGCGCTATTAGGATTTGATTAAATCTAAAACTCATGCTCTAAGCAGATGCTCGGCCCAACAGGATTGTACCGAAGGGTCTTCGGAAGAGCATTCGACTGAAATTGTGCGTTTGTGGTAGCGATTCCTCGCAACTAGAAAAAACTATAAACTCACCATTCGCCAAAAACTGCAACAAATTTATATTTATTTGACCATAAAACATCAAGCATCGTTTAATTATGATTACATTTTTATTGTACGACAGGAGTGCAGCCAAACAACCATCCGCAGCACCAGCGCAGATTTGTGATACGTAATTAAGGAGAGCATCTTACACACAAACTTACACTCTAATACAAACAAATAGTTATAATAGTATATTTATAACTGTGCAATTGTTACAAAATAAATGTAAAATTGTACCATGATATCTATATTGTTTCTTTTACTTAGATGAGAAGTATTATGTTTTTTTTTTATAGAATAACGATCTAGTGAATAAACCTTCCCCAAAAAACAGCAAGTATACAATATAAATATTTTTTTTTTTTGGTCATGGAGTATAATAAAGCATTAGATAATATATATTTTAATTTAGCCTGAATTAAAGAAGGCATCTCACGAAGCATTGGAACTTGGATTGTTGGCAGTCGAAGAAGTTGAAGCGTCCCCAGTTCCTGGACCCTGCGTGGCTCTGGAGGCTTTGTAGGCCAGCTCCAAACTCTGGCTTATCACATACATGTCGCCCTCAATGCTGCGGGCCCAGTTTTCCACATCGCCCAACTCTTTGAGGGCACTGCTGAAATTGTCAATAAGCTGCAGCCACTGGTGGGTCTGCTTGGCGAAGTTGGTAGCTCCCATATGGAGCTGCTTTGCCTCTGCATCCAGGCGCTTTTGGTTTAAGTAGGCCTGTGCCACGCCCACGTTTAGTGTGTCCACCAGAGATTGGGTGAGCTCATTGGAGGCTTCTATGGCCTCTTTTCTTCGCACCTCTAAGATATGGGATTATTGCATATTTTGCTAATTAAAAAGCTGTGTTCCAATACCCTGCTCTTGCTTCCGCTTTGCCTGCTCCTTGTGGTGCTCCTTTACCATGGAAGTAAGCATAGTTATTTTTATTTTCCAATACAAAAATATGTCAACAAAATATTTCTCTAGAGGTGGACGTTTTTGTTTATCGATTTTCGATAAATATACCAAAATATACTGCTGTGTGGGGATAGCGAGTCATCTGGCAACCTAACCATACACGTGCACGGGCGCCGTGCTTGTTTTTATAAATTTATTTTTGATTTATAAGAGGAACCGAATGTAAAATGGGTTCAAAACGACCGCAGGATGTGCACATGTTCCCCTCGGATCTGGAATTTGCCGTTTTTACGGACGAGGAGATCAGGAAGCTCAGTGTTGTGAAGGTGATCACGGGTATAACTTTCGATGCACTTGGTCATCCAATGCCCGGAGGCTTGTACGACATCCGTCTGGGTTCCTATGGCAAGTGCATGGATCCCTGTGGCACCTGCTTGAAAATGCAGGAATGCTCCGGACACATGGGCCATATTGAACTAGGGACTCCCGTCTACAATCCATTCTTCATCAAGTTGGTCCAGCGGCTGCTGTGTATCTTCTGTTTACACTGTTACAAGCTGCAAATGAAGGGTAAGTGATCTTTAGTTTATAAACCATCGCATTCTCATTTAATATGTGCCTTCCAGACCACGAACAGCAAATTATCATGCTGCAGTTGCGTCTCATCGATGCAGGATACATTATCGAGGCCCAGGAGTTGGAGCTTTTTAAATCCGAGATTGTGTGCCAGAACACGGACGAACTAGTTACCCTGAAAAATGGGGACTTAGTTCACCCACGTATTGCCGCCATGTATGAACTGCTGGCCAAGAACGAGAAGAACTCTAGCAACTCCACAAAGACGAGTTGCTCCCTGCGCACGGCTGTTACCCATGCCGCCCTCCAGAAGGCTGGAAAAAAGTGCAGACACTGTAACAAGTCTATGCGGTTTGTGCGCTACATGCACCGCCGTCTGGTTTTCTATGTCACTTTGGCTGACCTTAAGGAGCGGTAAGAAGAATACATTCTTTTAATAAAACTTTCCTCAATAATGGTCCTTTTTTTTACAGGGTAGGAGGCGCCGTAGAAACAAGTGGTCAAAACAAAGTGGTATTTGCAGACGAATGTCGTCGATATCTTCGCGAGATCTACAATAACTACCCGGAGCTACTGAAGCTCCTGGTTCCCGTCCTAGCTCTCAGCAACACGGACTCTACAGATAGCGGCCGTTCACCAGTTGATATGTTCTTTATGGAAGCAATACCAGTGACTCCGCCACGCGCTCGGCCCATGAACATGATCAACGACATGCTAAAGGGCAATCCCCAGACGGACATATACGTCCACATCATTGAGAACAACCACGTGCTAAATGTGGTCATTAAGTGCATGAAGGGCATGCAAGAGAAGCTTTCGCCTGAGGCCCAGGCGGCTTACAACAATCTGAAGGGAGGAAACGCTCATGAGAAGTTGTATAATGCCTGGCTGGCGCTCCAGACTTCTGTAGACGTGCTGCTGGACGTGAACATGTCTCGAGACATGAAGACAGCCGAGGGATTGAAGCAGGTGTTGGAGAAAAAGGAAGGCCTGATCCGGAAACACATGATGGGAAAGCGAGTAAACTACGCCGCTCGCACAGTCATCACCCCGGATCCCAATATAAATGTGGACGAAATCGGTATCCCAGACATTTTTGCCAAAAAACTCTCGTATCCGGTACCGGTGACCGAGTGGAATGTGACAGAGCTGCGCAAGATGGTCATGAATGGGCCGGACGTGCATCCAGGCGCGAACTACATCCAGGATAAGAATGGCTACACCACATATATACCCGCGGACAATGCCGCAAAACGGGAGAGTCTAGCAAAGCTGCTCCTCTCGAATCCTAAAGACGGAGTAAACATCGTGCATCGTCACGTGCTTAATGGAGATCCCTTGCTCCTAAATCGACAGCCCTCTTTGCACAAGCCGTCGATCATGGCCCACAAGGCTCGTATCTTGCGTGGCGAGAAGACCTTCCGCCTGCACTACTCCAACTGCAAGGCTTACAACGCTGATTTCGATGGCGATGAGATGAACGCCCACTACCCGCAAAGCGAAGTGGCCCGTGCAGAGGCTCACAATCTGGTGAACGTGGCCAGCAACTATTTGGTGCCCAAGGACGGAACACCCCTAGGTGGTCTAATCCAGGATCACGTTATTTCCGGAGTGAAGCTCTCGATTCGAGGACGTTTCTTCAACCGCGAAGACTACCAGCAGCTGGTGTTCCAAGGGTTGTCAAATCTTAAAAAGGATGTGAAATTGCTGCCGCCGGCGATCTTGAAGCCCGTCAGACTTTGGTCAGGCAAGCAAATCCTTTCCACCATTATAATCAACCTGATTCCTGAGGGGTACGAGCGCATCAATCTGGATTCATTTGCAAAGATTGGCGGCAAAGTAAGTAATCTTAATGGTCATAGATCTAAATTCGTTGCAACTAATCTTCAATTCTTCACAGAACTGGAACGTTGATCGTCCCAGGCCTCCCCTGTGTGGATCTGGGATCAGGGACAACGAACTGGATGAGAGCCAAGTGCAGATCAGGAAAGGGGAGCTACTCGTGGGTGTTCTCGATAAACAACAGTACGGAGCCACCACCTTCGGTTTGATTCATTGCATGTACGAGTTGTATGGAGGCGATGTGTCCACCCGACTGCTCACCGCCTTCACCAAAGTCTTTACGTTCTTCCTTCAAATGGAGGGCTTCACGCTGGGCGTGAAGGATATTTTGGTAACTGGAGAAGCGGATAAACGCAGGCGGAACATTATTAAAGAGTGCCGCAGCGATGTCGGTAACAGTGCTGTGGCTGCTGCACTGGAAATGGAGGAGGTGCCGCCTCATGACGAACTTGTCGAGAAAATGGAACAGGCATATGTCAAGGATCCAAAGTTCCGAGTGCTCCTGGATCGTAAATATAAGTCCTTGCTTGATGGATACACTAATGACATAAATAAGTGAGTTTTAATGAAGACTGGCGCCAGGTTGCAAACTAATAACCTCTTCTTTTTATAGAACTTGTTTGCCCGACGGTCTGGTCACCAAGTTCCCCTCCAACAACCTTCAGCTGATGGTGTTATCCGGTGCTAAAGGATCCATGGTGAATACTATGCAGATCTCGTGCCTACTGGGACAAATCGAATTGGAGGGAAAGAGACCTCCGTTGATGATATCTGGAAAGTCTTTGCCCAGTTTCACTTCGTTCGAGACCTCGCCAAAGTCGGGAGGATTCATCGATGGCCGTTTTATGACTGGCATTCAGCCCCAGGACTTTTTCTTCCATTGCATGGCTGGTCGTGAAGTAAGATATGGAGAAGTTCGCACTTTAAACCTTACTTAATGAATTTTCATTCGTTCTAGGGTCTTATCGATACAGCTGTAAAGACCTCGCGTTCTGGTTACCTCCAGAGATGCCTCATTAAGCATTTGGAGGGCCTGAGTGTGCACTACGACCTTACGGTCCGCGACAGCGACAACAGTGTGGTGCAATTCCTCTACGGCGAAGACGGTCTGGATATCCTCAAGTCCAAGTTCTTCAACGACAAGTTTTGTGCCGATTTCCTCACGCAGAACGCTCCGGCCATCCTTCGGCCCAGCCAGTTGCAGCAGATGAAGGATGAGGAGGGTCTGGCCAAGGTGCAGCGCCATGAGAAGCACATTAGGAGCTGGCAGAAAAAGAAGCCGGCGAAGCTACGTTCTGCCTTCACACACTTCTCGGAGGAGCTTCGGGAGGAGGTCGAAGTGAAGCGGCCCAACGAGATAAACTCCAAGACAGGCCGACGCCGCTTCGACGAGGGTCTACTGAAGCTGTGGAAGAAGGCCGATGCCGAGGATAAGGCCCTTTATCGGAAAAAGTATGCCCGTTGCCCGGATCCCTCGGTGGCTGTCTACAAGCAGGATCTCTACTACGGCAGTGTATCGGAGCGCACGCGTAAACTGATCGAAGATTACGCTAAGAGGAAACCGGAGCAAAAGGAGATCATTGCTGACATTATGCGCATGAAGACCATCAAGGCATTGGCTTCGCCAGGAGAACCAGTGGGCCTGATTGCCGCCCAGTCCATCGGTGAACCATCCACGCAGATGACACTGAACACTTTCCATTTTGCCGGTCGTGGTGAGATGAACGTGACCTTGGGTATACCTCGACTTCGGGAGATTCTCATGCTGGCCTCGTCCAACATTAAGACACCCTCGATGGATATTCCCATTAAGCCTGGCCAGCAGCACCAGGCGGAAAAGCTGCGCATTAATTTAAACTGTGTGACTTTGGCCAACCTCTTGGAGTGTAAGTGGCTTAATTTGGGAGTTGACTAGACTATTTAATGGCATATGTAATCCTACAGCTGTCCACATTAGCACCAGTCTGGTTTTCGAACCGGAGCGAGCCTACGAATATGAGATGCGCTTCCAGTTCCTACCGCGGGAGGTCTACAAAGAGGACTATGGTGTGCGGCCCAAGCAGATCATTAAGTACATGCACCAGACCTTCATCAAGCAACTGATCCGCTCCATACTGAAGGTATCCAAAGCCAAGCGAACCACGAAGATGTAAGAATTCCAATCAGTCATGTTTATATAAATTTTTATAATTCGATTTTGATTTTTTCCAGTGTTGTGATTGACGACAACAAAGATGCTGATCGGGAGGATAATGACAACGATCTGGACAACGATGAGCCGGGTCGTCAAAAGGGCGCAGACAATGATGACGACTCATCGGATGATGGAGTAAGTTTAACTCAAACTCTGAGGTGAACCCTTCTTATTACTGTTCAATCTTCCATAAAGGGAGATGACGACGCCACTGGAGTGAAGTTGAAGCAGCGTAAGACCGACGAAAAGGACTACGATGACCCTGACGATGTCGATGAGCTCCAAGACGCCAACGGTAAAGGACGTTCTTTCATATTTCCCAATTTGTTTTCTCACTTTTTCCTCCTTTACAGCTGATGACGCCGATGGCTCAGATGTGGACGACGACGAGAAGGGCCAGGATGGCAAGGAGAATGCCGACGGGGATGACAAATCGGTGGAGAAGTTGCTATGCAACGAAATGGTGAAAGGTTACACCTACGACAAGGAGAGCCATTTGTGGTGCCAGGTCAAACTGAACCTGAGTGTGCGCTACCAGAAGCCCGATCTGACCTCCATCATTCGGGAGCTGGCGGGCAAGAGTGTGGTCCATCATGTGCAGCACATTAAGCGCGCCATCATCTACAAGGGCGGCAATGACGAGCAGCTGTTGAAGACCGATGGCATTAACATTGGAGAGATGTTCCAGTACAACAAGATTCTCGACCTGAATCGTCTCTACTCGAACGATATCCATGCGATTGCCAGGACCTACGGCATCGAGGCCGCCTCGCAGGTGATCGTCAAAGAGGTCAGCAACGTGTTCAAGGTCTACGGTATTACTGTGGATCGTCGGCACCTGTCACTCATCGCTGACTACATGACCTTTGACGGCACCTTCCAGCCGCTGTCCAGGAAGGGCATGGAGCACTCCTCATCGCCCCTGCAGCAGATGTCCTTTGAATCTAGTCTGCAGTTCCTGCGTAGTGCCGCCGGTTTCGGCAGACAGGACGAGCTCAACTCGCCTTCGAGTCGCCTTATGGTGGGCCTGCCAGTGCGGAATGGCACTGGTGCCTTTGAGTTGTTGACCAAGATCTGTTAATTCTTTTTTCTACGGATTGTTTAGAGCTTTCAATAAAAACCACTTTTTTTATCCACATATATGTAAAATGTTCCTTTATTGTTTATGTAATTTTAAATGCTATATGTATATATATCTAGATATAGTATTTATATCGTAATTAGATGTCAGTTATGGTTCGCTTTCTGAAAAAGTTCGTTTATGGCATTACGCACTACAAATGAAATTAAATTAATTTCGGTTCGGTTCCATCTTAAAATTCCTTTACGCTATGACTTTAAAATACTCCCGTTGCACAACTCTAGAAACTAGTCGCTAATTATTAAAACCCAGACCCAACTATGCTTGTCTATATATATATATAGGTATATATGGCTACGGAAGGGCAGTTCAACCCAAGCAAGTTGGATTTGATATTAGGTGAAGGAGTAAGTGTGTGTTATATATATGTACATGCCGGACATGCCACCACCGGTTGGGTGGGTTGGGTCCAGCAAGGAAGTGGGTTCTCGAGTGTGTTGTAGGTAGGTGTGTATGCTAAAGCATATTTTGATTTGATTTGATGCATGCGCGGTTCTAGGTGCTATATGATCTCTATATAGTAGGTAAATGTAATGCATATGTGTGCAGTATTGTTCAAACGCTTCGATGACTTCAATCCCTAAGGACATTCGCTATATTTCCCCCCTCGGAAAGACTCTACGTGTTTACATTTCGATTTCGATTTGATTTGATGATATATGTATGTTACTTGCATATCCAATATATTATAAGTGCCTAGGTGCTAAATTATGCTATATACTTTCCCACAAAAACTGCCTGTCTGTCGTCTGCTTGGGCTTCCCAACAAACACCAATCGTTGCTCGAACAGAATGAACGAAAAGATCGACTTCAACTGAGGAAACCATAAATACAATACAAAAAAATGCTTTAAATACTATAAATGTATAATGGGGTTATATCACAGGTACATTTTAGACTTTTTTCAAAATGCAAGATTGTAGAAAACATTATGTATGTCATGGAGGGGTCCTGCACAGGGACTGGACAACGGAACGGAAATGTTGGCCGTGTGCAGCTCCTCAACTCGTGTCTAAATGCTATGTAAGTAGTTGTGTAGTTTAGTATGTATACATATATATATGTATATATATTCACTGGATCAATGAAGTATATAAGTATTCCTTGTTATAGAAAAGCACTAACCATTAAACATTGCAACTGCCGTTTCGTTCGTCTCGTCTGGTCCGACTCCGAACTCTACTTTAAAACCAACTCGACGAATGCTCGATTGTGATCGTAGATATGAAAGAGTTTTGCGTACAAGTTATATTGTAATCAGTTATCCGTAATCGGTAATCCATATCGTTATTGTACCGCTATCAAGCCTATGACTAGGACCAATTCTAGAGCCCCAAAACTGTGTACTTTGGTTCTAACTATATATGTACGTCGTGGGTAACCTTTTGTGTACTTGCTATGGCCTGATCGGGTTTATCCTTCCTCTAAATAAGTTCTTTGAGTACGTATTTCAATGAAGTTCTGCTGGCTCACAGACCTGCTCTTGTCCTGCTCCGCCCTGTCTACTCTCGTCCCAGAAGCAATATCTATACATCGTACAGCACTTGGCGCAATTCTTAAGTACAATTGTGGTCGCGGGATGGGGGGCATTGTGCGTTTCTATGAGTGTCTACGCCGGTAGATGTGATAATGGAAAAATTCGTAATTGCTAAAGCTTCACAATGCCCCCATGATTGTGACAAGTGTGTGTTTTGTTTGTGTATCTGAGTTCATTAATTCCAGGGATTCGAGGCACCCGGAAACCTCACCTATTCGATCTCATATCCGCTGCTCCTGCTTCTTGTTTCGATATGAATTAAGAGTTAGACTAGAGGTTATCATTAATACTAATCCGCCCACTTAGGTGTTCTTGGCAGTCAGCTGTCGAGGTCCCGGCTCCCCCGCCTCGGCGTACAGGCAGGATCCCTCGCTGCAGGAGCAGGTATCGCCCTCGCGTGAGCTGTTGCAGCAGTCGCTGGTGTAGTGCCGCTGCTCGTACTCCGCCAGCATGTTCTCGTTCTCGCTCTCCAAGCACGGCTGCACTGCCGGCGGGCGTCGGTGGTGGCCTCCTCGTTTGCTGCTGCCATGCTCCTCCTGAAGCTGCAGCTGCCGCTTGTGACCGTGAGAGGTCCTCGAGTGGTCAGAGCACTCGGAGGAACACTGATAGATCTGGTGATTCGAGGTGGTTGGGTGCATCGGGTGCACGGGCTGGTACCAGCCCTCGGGAACGGGCACAGCCATGGGAGCCGGTGGCGGTGGCTGCATGGGCGATGGAGTCGACAAGGCATCGCAACTGTTGCAGGCCCGGCTCTGGGCGCATCGCGCCGCATTCAAGCCCGCTTGATACTCGCTGGCCGGGTGGCGTTGTGTGGCAAAGGGCAGGTGATTGGGAGGCACCACTCCGCCCGGAGCTGTTGTGGCGAAGTAGGCTGGTAGCTGCGGCGGGTGCTGGCTAGTGGGTGTAATCTGGTAGCGGTTCTGGGTACCAGTAGCCACGGCTGACAACGGATTGCTGTACACGTTCTCCGGCGGGCATCCGCCAGCAGCGTACTGGGGCGAGACTCCCCAAGCGGAGAAACCACCTGAGGAGCTGCTGTGTATGGAGGCGTTCAGTATGCTGGAAATAGTAGGTATTCGGGTTAAAAAATACCAATGCAACTTAAAGATCGGTGCCGAACTATCTGAGCTGGCTTTCAAAAAGGAAAAAAGGTCCGTTTACCTTTGGTTGGTGGAAATGCCAGAGCCTGCGCTCTTGGAGCTCTTCCGCGACGACTCCGGGGATCCTTGTGCATATCCATAGGTGGAAGACGGCGGCGGGTGTTCTGGTGGCGGTGGCAGGAACTCTGACCAGTTTATAGGCTCTGCTGGGTACTGTAGATAGTTGGATTTCACCACGGGAGGCACTGCCGGCTGACCGGCAAAAGCATCAGAGTAGGGCGAATGGGTGCCCGAATCCTTGTCAGCACTCAGAGATGTGGCCTTGGTGCAGGTCTCGCTGGAGGAGGTGCCTATTATCATGGTGGTGGCATAGGGCGTGGGGTTATCGGGGCTCTGTAAAGTGAGGATTTGGTATAACTATCTTTTGTTAAGAAGGTTCTCCACGACAAACTCACCTTGCGGCAATTGTAGAAAGTGGTCAGGTTCCGAGTGTCTACTTCGGCGTAGTCGGTTCCACCATCCGAGTTGTTGTAGTTGGACTGACTGCTGTTTACGTGGGAAAGCAGCTTGGATTCGCTCAGGCCGGAATCCTTGTCTGTATCGGCAGTTCGCCAGCCGCGATGGTGATCAATCCATAAGCTCTCCTTGCTGTTGATGTTCAGGGCGGTGATCTCATTGTCGCTGACCACTGGAATTCAAATGAAATGAAAATCTGATCCTTTTAGAATAGAAATCCTTACTTACCACTCAAGTGACCCAGTTCCTTAGTCATTTGATGCTTCCTCTTAAAGTATACCATGGCTATAGCTGTGGAAATGACGACCACAAGGAGTATTATGAAGACCAGGACCATTAACCAAGGTCCAGAGAGGTAGTCGGTGGTCTTTCTGTGGGTGGTGGGATTGTTGTTGTTGATGGGTGAGTTTCCATTACTGTGATAGACGACATCCTGACCCTCATGCCGGCCATCGTGGGTGCCACTGGGATGGGCTCGTGGCGGATGGACATGGTGGTTGGGGTCCATAAAGAGTGAGATCTTCGAGAGGAAATAACTGTGAGAATTCTGAGTTTATTAAAGAAAGAACTTGCTTACCGGTTTGGAGTAGGGACCATCACCTGCCTTGGTGAAGGAATTCAGTCTTACGCTGTACACTGCTCCGGTGGTCAAGTTGTTGAGCAACACCGAGGTTGTGGTAGCATTGAGGGTCATGTTGGCCAGCACCTTCATTGTGTTTCCGGCACTGACCTCAATCTTGTAGCCGTAAAGGTTGCCATTGTGGTGCTGGGCCGGCGGAGGAGTCCACCGCACCCATCCGGCAGTTTGGTTGTACATCCCAATCTGTATGTTATCCGGCGGAGCGGAAGGTACTGTAAGATCGGCAATATATTAGACAAAATTCGGTTTCCATATTTAAGGAGCAAATACCATCTTCGTAGGTCAGTGCTATCTTGGAGTTACTGGGTTGTCCTTCGATGGTTTCGAAAAAGGGTGTGACGAAGAACTCGTACTTGGTAAACTTCCTCAGGTTTGCCACAACGAAGGATTCCGCCGAGGCATCCAACACAGTGATGGAACGGTATTGTGGGGATGAGGAACCTACGTCTCTATAGTGAATGTGCAGTCCCTATTTGGTAATAGTTTCATTAGTGAAGAAAGGTTCATGCTTGAAAAAGGTTAACTACAAATACCTCCACATATTTTTCATCGCCACTGATGTGCAGCATCCAATCCAGACGCACAGCACTGGCATTTATGGCAGAGGCATCAATCAGCTCAACAGACTAAGAAACGTAAACAAATGATTCATGTGCTTATCGAGAGTTTCAAGTGTGAGCTTACCTTTCCAGTCAGCAGAGTTCGAGCTGCTGATAAATCATTGGCAGAAGCTGCATCGTAATCTTCTCCAATGGTTTTTATGGCATTTGATAGACCCGACGGCACTGAAATGCCCTGAGAGTTCTCGGCTCGTACCAGGAATACGTAAAGCGATCCAGGTGTGAGATCGGTTATCTAAGATGGAGCTAGGTTAGTGACAGGGTTTCGAAAAAGTCGAGGTAATCTTACAGTAACTTGGGTATCTTCCACGCGGTGAGAGGCCTTGATCCAACCTGTTTGAAGATCCGGGCTAAAGAACTCCACAGTGTAGCTGCCAATAAAATAACATTCAGAGATGATCTCATAAAATGGGTGTGACCGCCAAACTCACCCAAGAATCGGACCCACAGCACCGGGTTTCTCTTGGCTTTTGGCCCAGCGCAGACTAATGCTTGTGCGGGTGACATTCAGGACCTTGGGAGTACCTGGCGGAGCAGGATAAGTGCTAGGATCGGCTGACCTATGCAAGGATGTGGATCCAGTGCTGTCCACCTAAAAATGTTTAAAACTTTTATTTAGCCAGGAATCTAAATAGTTGGTCCTGATGGTAAACCCACAGATAAAGTTGCTGCCCAGGAAGTCTCTCCTCTTTCCGACGATGCAGTGCATGTGTAGGTTCCTGAGTCACCAACTTGCAGATCTGGTTTGAAGAAACTGATTAATGGAAGCCCTATGATTAGTTGCTTGCAATAGTTACCATCTATCCTTAGGGAGCTGCCTTGGATGACGCTGTGACGATTGCCCGTTTGCACAGCGTGTCCATTGAGGAACCACTTGATGCGGGGATTGGGATTTCCGGTGGCCCGGCATGGCAGAGTGGCTACCGATCCCTTGGGCAGTGTCTGATTGGCAGGTCCAATCTGGATAATCGGAGGCGGTCGTTCGTCCACCGAACTGACCTGTAGGAACACCCGCACCGTTGAGGAATCTACAACACTGAACGCTGAGCAGACATAGAAGCCCTCGTCCTCCTGGCGCACGTCCGTTATCTGCAGAGTTCCGTCGGCTGCAACATGGTGCCTGTCGTGGGAACTGTTGAGGAACATGAGTGTGGACACGCCCTCTTTGGTCCAGAAAACGGAGGGCGGCGGATTTCCAGAGGCCATGCAGGGCAACTGGACAACACCGTTGAGACCAACTTTCTTGTTGCTCGGCCGCTTCGTGAAGGTGGGGGGAGCTGATGAAGAAACAAAGAGATTAGGGTGCTGGAATCGGGAGCTATGCACTCAATCCTACCATGCACTGTGAGCGTTGCCCTGGCGCTTATATGACCCACATTGTTGTGCGCCTCACAAACATAGGTTCCTTCATCGTTCGGGGTGATGTTGATCAGCTCCAGACTCTTGTCGTCGTGGAGGATGCGGGCTCTTGAAACGGGAATATTACCCTCCTCCTTCTTCCACAGCACTTTCGGAGGCGGATCCCCACCCACGGAGCAATGGAACGTGGCAACCTGACCATAGAGCATGACCAGATCCTTGGGCTCCTTCATGAAATAGGGCTTGACCTGAACGATTAGCTTGGCGTAGTTGGACTCCCGAGTGCCCACCAGATTCTGGGCAATGCATTTGTAGTTGCCCTCGTCAATGGGCTCCACATTGCTGATAAGCAGGTTGCCACCATCCACGATTCGGACGCGGGAACTGGCGCCGAAAGACAGGGCTTTCAGGTCGTCCAACGGAACGCCATCCTGTTGGTGAGAAATAAAAAGTTGGCGGTTGAGGAAAAAAAAATGAGTATTCGACTGATTAGGTCGACCAGTTTGGTGTACCCACCTTCATCCAAATAAGCGTTGGCTCAGGAATGCCTTTGGGCGGCCCACACTCCAGCAAAGCCGTCTCGCCTTTGGCCACTCGCGTGTCTTTGGGCTCCACGCGAAAATCGTCGCGCAAAACTGGCCGGGGCAGGGAAAAAAAAAATGAAAATAACAAATACGAGACAAAGCTTAGCGTGTGGGCAGACAAGTTGCACCTAAAATTAACGACTGGAGTGACAGACTTACCAGCAATCTGGAGCGAGGCATGGCGACTAACGACCTGGCCGACTCGGTTCTTCGCCACGCACCAGTACTCGCCGCCGTCCTGCTCCTTCTTGCCCTGCATGGTGCGGTAGAAGAATAGGGCGCCGTCCTTGAACTGGACGCGGTGCGACTTCTTCTCATTGGTGCTGACAGGCTCGCCATCCTGCAAAGCAAAGCCCAAATGTTGGAGGGGTTAAATTAATTGCGGTTGTAGATTAAGAGATTGTGTGGTTTGGAATGGGTACACTCGAAAAAATGGGATGCAAGTGCTTTATTTAAGTGGGTTCTAAGCCCCTAACTAGTTCTTGTTTTTTTCTAAAAGTGTGAAGAGAGATTCGATAGAACATGTATCCTTACCTTAAACCACTCGATGGTGGGCTCCGGCTTGCCCTCCACCTTGCAGTTGAGTGTGGCTGGTTCATTCTTCTTGACCACCAAGTCCGTGGGATGTTCGATGATCCGCGGCGATTGGTATTGGCCTGAAAGGGGGGATAAGTGGGGATATTTGTGATGCGGGTAAGCTCCATGGGAAGCCAGTGAATGAGTTATACGATGGTTTACCTCTGACTACTGCTGGCAGCGCCACGAGGCCGAGCAGCAGCGGCACAAGCAGCATTCTGCTCGCCCGGCCGCTCAGATAGGGGTTAATAGTGGTGCTGGTGCTCCAGGCGATGAAGAGGCGAGGTTTTCGATCAGATGGCATATAGGATGCGGTGCTAGGTGTGATCTTGTGATTACTTTACAGTTGATGAGTCAATGGAGCGGCGATCATTGTAGCGTTATCCTAGTTTATGGGCGATATGGGGTTAACGAAATGTGGGCAGCTGTTAGGATAATGCAATAGGATTTAAGGCGTGGCTGAATAAGCCCCCGGGGACTTGGCAGGGTTTTCGGTTGCATTACAGTGCTACCTTTCAGTGCGGTTTTTATCTGTTCTGCCCGGAATTTGAAATTATTTCTAGCCTGCTCCACTTATGCTCGCATTTTCATTTCCATGCCGCGATAACTCGCACACACACACATACACTGGCACGCTTACAACTTACACTCGCACACAGATACTTTACGAATGTGTGTCTGCTGGTTTTCCATTAATTTTATTTCTGTATTTATCTCTCTTTTTGTGTTTATCTCCCGACGGAGTCGGTGGACAGGCCAGGCCAGGCCGCAGACCCCAAAAAAATTTACAATCCAAATTCTGATTTGGAGTTTGATTTCATTTTGATTTTTATGGGTTCTCACACTTTCTTCTTGGAGGGTTTTCTTCTTGTCGGATATATCACTATTTTTTTTATATTTCCTTTTTGGGTTTTTATTAATCAGCAGCGCGCAGCCAGTGTAAGTTTTGTTGGTATTTATTTGTCGATGGCCTTTCGGGGTTGTTTCTGTTTCTCAGCTCTCGCGCACATTTTCCACATTTCCCGAACGAAATTTCTTTTTGGTAATTTTACAAGAACAAGAACACGCTCCCCTCTCTCCAACTACAACTCTCACTCGCACTCGCTTTTCTCTTCCTAGCTGCCTCTCACTCCCACCAACGGTCACTCCTCCCGCTGTTCCTTGGATTTCCCCATCCACCCCACCACCGTGCTTGTTGTTGTATCTATAACACTGTTGTATCTATAACACACACTCCTTGTAAAGATACATCCGCTGCAGCTGCACTTTAAACACCGCGATTGGGGCTTATTTTTTAGGCTCCCGACGCACTAATCGATCTTTAGTATCCCTACTCTCCACTTACTCTTATTAAGCTGCACTCGATTTATTTCCTGCGATTTAATTCGAATTTACGGCGCAGAGAAAACTCTCAATTGGACGTGGGTAGTGTTCAGAGTGACCGTAGACCGTTATTGTAATGTAAAGGAAGTACCATTTATTATGGTGCATTTTACAACACTGATCAAACGGTCTGGCAGCTCTGACTTAGAGCGCCACGTTTTCCGAGGTTTAAATGTTTATTAAAAAAGTACAAAAGTGATGGTTATGTTCTTAGTTTGTTGATAATAAAGTTAATGAAGAAAATATGCGGGGGATCTTCATCCAATCTCATTCAATCCTGGCCATATTCTTGGGCAAATTCCTGGAGCGCACTACATTTGAGAAGTTGGCCTCAAAGGCAGCAACACGACTCCTGCCAAGGGGCAAGTGGAAAGGTGCCGGAATCGCAGCCTGCGGACGGCGAGCATGGGGCAAGGCGCTCTTGACCTGCTTGGGCTGCAGGTTTAGTCGCGAAACCCGATCCACTGACATGCTCTTGGGACGACGGGCCAGATACTGATGGACATGGCTGTTGGAACCGTTGGCTATGTTCAAGTTAACCAGGTAGTCCTGCAGCTGCGCCTTCAGCTGGCTGTTCTCCGCCTCCAAGCGTCGCTTCTGCTGCTTCAAAACGGCCACATCGACGGCGACGTTGTTCACCCGGCGCCAGAACGTCTCCATTTGGGGCACCAGAGCCACCTCATCCTGAGGGTTTCAATAAACTAATAAAGATTAAGAAAAAAAGGAATAGACTACGAACCTTTAAAAGATCTGTGGCTGGATCCGGTGTTGCTCCGGCCTCTACCACCTCGCGAATCTCGATGATTTCCTTGGAAATCTCTGGCAGTTGAAACATCTTTTCCCGCTGGGTTTCCATCTTAGAACACACTGCCGACAACTGGACTAGAGTTTCCCCCTTTCCGGTAATTTCCTGGAGCTTCTCAAGCGCGTTGTAGCTCTCCACGGACAATAGCTTGAAGGACTGGTGATCCCTGGACATCTCGTCCTCCACGCACGATCGTAGCTCACGTAGTCGCTCGGTCAACTGTGTTTTGATAGCCTGTCGCTGCTCTAGCTGGCCCTGCTGCTTTACGTAAAACTCCTCGGAAACCAGACGCAAATTGGCCAATTGGTCCACCAAATGCTCAATCTCGTACGTCTGCTGGCTAATCTGAAGAGCCGCCTCCTCGTCCCGCTGCTTTAGGTCAACGTACTCGGCGTAGAAGCCCTCGATGTGTTGACAGTAGCCACCGAGTACGGATTGATACTCCTGCCACAGCTTCTCCAGTTTGGCCTCGCCCCTGGAGGTGATCTGCTCCAGCTGCAGTTGCATCTGGAAAATGAAAACATGCACGCAACGATAATTACGACAGAAGACCATTGTGTGTCACTCTGGCTGTCATTTCCCGCGGCTATAAATGGGGACAGAAGTTGGGAGCTGCTCATTCAGTGTCAGAGATGCGGTTGCTGGTTTTGCTGTTGGTCGGCCTGAGCTGTTGCTCCTACAGTTTCGGCCTCAAGTGCCGTTCCCAGGAGGGACTGGGGGATGCGGAACTAAAGAAGACCGTTCGTAGCTGTATGCGTCGCCAGGACGAAAGCGAAGACCGAGGACGAGGCGTGAGCAGACAAAGCCAAAGTTTCGACTACGGACGGGACCAGGAGCAAGATCGGGACAGGGATAGGGACCAAGGAAGCAGAGGAGGCTATGGCAACCGGTGGCAACGAAGCCTGCGGCAGTCTGAGAACCGGAACAGCACAAGTGGCGATGGAAGCGAAGTTGGAGCTTGTGTGGCCCAGTGCTTCTTTGAGGAGATGAATATGGTAGTATTATAGGGCAATCGCTTCATGAGATATTGATTGACTTCTCCATGAACAGGTTGATGGCAATGGAATGCCCGACCGGCGCAAGGTATCCTATCTGCTGACCAAGGACCTTCGCGACCGAGAGCTTCGAAATTTCTTCATGGACACGGTGCAGCAGTGCTTCCGCTACTTGGAGACCGGCGGTCGAGGAAGACATAACAAGTGCGCCGTGTCCCAGGAGCTGGTGAAGTGCATGTCGGAGTACGCCAAGGCCCAGTGCGAGGATTGGGAGGAGCATGGCAACCTCCTTTTCAATTAGTTTATATCCAAAAACTCACCCCACTTTTAAGGTCCTCGCAGCGGTCCAAGAAACGCTCGTGGTTGTTCCGGATTCCCCCGTCAGTGGTCTCCTCCAACTGGTAGAATACGCACTCAAGTTGTTGTTGCTTCAGAGCGTGCATCTCCTTGAAGCTGGCGGAGTCCTGCTCCCACTCGCTAAGCACCGCCTGTTTGTCATCCTCGTAGATTTGCCGAAAGAACTCGATGCGCCTGCGATGGGTGTCTAGGAGTATAATATTTAATGGATAAGGGTATTCAAGTATTGAGGTGGTGGTTAAGTTAACAGCATTTTTTAAAAGAAGTCACTAATAGTTAATGTATTATTGTTTCTGTATTATTTAAGTCTTAAAAGGTAAAAAAAGTTAAACAAAATTTTCTTTCAATAATTTACCAATATACACAACTCACCAACGATTTTGGTAATATTCTCCATATGGGATTGCTGGAGATTGGAGTACATATCCTCGGTGGACTCTATGTGAGCAATCAGTCGATGAATAACCTGATCCTTCCGCTTAAGAGCCTCCTTAAAGAAGGACTCAACGTCAATGATTTCCCGGCGAAGCTCTTGAATCTTAACCTGGCGCAGAATACTGCGCCACTCCTGATTGATTTTGGCCATGTTGAGACGCCCAAAGGCATCCTCTCGTTTCAATTTGTTCTATTTAAGGATAGGAAAAGCTATTATAAGGGTTTATTTCCTTTGGCCAAACGATACCTTCATGTACATGGAAATAAGCTGCATTTTCCGGCGGCGCGTCTCCTCCTCCGCGTCGGCCCGCATCTGGAGGTATCGGGCTCGCTCCTCCTCGGACATTTTGGCCAACTTGTTGCCTTTGCCTTTACCCTTTTTTCCCATGATGCTGCTACCTTTTGTTCTTCAATCAGCTTATCAAGTTTCAAAGGCCAATAGGCGACTAATTAGGCGAGCAAAAGCCGATCCCTGGAAAATAAATAACAATTTGATTGCCGCGTTGTTGCCATGACATTTGTGTATTTCGGTAGCCACCTCCACGTTGAATCCACCGGCACTTTACGTTGCCATAATAATGAATGCGAATTAAATTAATGCGGAATGGAGCTAAATGATATTAGTGCTGTCCATCAAAGGGGAACCACTTGACATATAAAATGATAGCCCGACCAGCCGGAGTTCTGTCATCATGTTGGGCTCTGGATTTGTGTTTTTAGTGATTCTGCTTCAAAATTTGGTGGGTAATATATTCTAGTGTACTTGAATTTTTGTAATAAACTTTTATTTTTATTCTAGGATCCACTATTGGCCGTAAGGATTCACTGCCAGAACATAGAGCGTATGCACGAGGAGAATATCCACCATTGTTGCAAGCATCCAGATGGTCACAACGATGTGACGGAGAGCTGCGCCTTGAAGACCAACTTTCGGCTGCCGTCGGCCGATGAGGAAGCCGTTGAGGATGTGACAGTCAATCAGGTAATGTCCGGCACCTGCTGGGCCAAGTGTGTCGTCGATCACTACAATCTTCTGGAGAACAATACCCTTGACATGGGCAAAGTCAGATCCTACTACAAGAGATACCACACTATTGATCCTGAATACGAAGCTGAAATGGTGAATGCCTACGAAAAGTGTCACTCTAAATGTAAGAAATCATTAAATAATATATATACAATTAAACATTAAAATTATTTAGCTGAGACGGCCTTGGAGCAATTTCTAGCAATGCCACTTGTGACGGAGTTTATAAAAACCAAGATGTGCAAACCCACTTCCAGCATAATATTGTCCTGCGTGATTTACAACTTTTTTCACAACTGCCCGAGGAGTCGTTGGGCCCACACTTCGGAGTGCGAGGAGACTCTAGCCTTTACAAAAAAATGCAAGGATGCCTTTACAACTATGTGAAAAAACATTTTATTTTCAATTCATAGCACATGGAAATTTGACTTCAAATTTAATAAACAATTTGTTGTTATATTTTGGGAAGCATTAATCTAAAAATTTATAAAAGGTATATCTCTCATGAACCGGATGATTATAGCCTTAGATATAGCTTTGAATTGTCCCAAGGGATTCGTTTTTCCTAGGGGTATCCCCACAAAATTGTGGCTTTTCGCACTTTTCCCACTTTTGCCCCTTCGGATGTCCACAGCTGTGCCAATTTGTATCCGATCAGCAAATAAAGTACCATTTAGTAATCAGCGAACCCAGAAGCGACTTTCCTCATTCAAAACCTTGCTGAAATATGGTTTTGAAATTTTTCGAATTTTTTCCTAGGGGTACCCCTACAAAATTGTGGGTTTTCGCACTTTCCCCACTTTTGCCCCTTCGGATGGCCATAGCTCTGCCAATTTGTATCCGATCAGCAAATAAAGTACCATTTTGTAATCAGCCAACTCTAAAGCAACTTTCCTTATTCAAAACCTTGCTGAAATATGGTTTTGAAATTTTTCGAAATTTTTCCTAGGGGTACCCCTACAAAATTGTGGGTTTTCGCACTTTCCCCACTTTTGCCCCTTCGGATGGCCATAGCTCTGCCAATTTGTATCCGATCAGGAAATAAAGTACCATTTAGTAATCAGCGAACTCTAAAGCAACTTTCCTCATTAAAAACCTTGCTGAAATATGGTTTTTAAATTTTTCGAATTTTTTCCTAGGGGTACCCTTACAAAATTGTGGGTTTTCGCACTTTCCCCACTTTTGCCCCTTCGGATGGCCATAGCTCTGCCAATTTGTATCCGATCAGGAAATGGAGATCCATTTAGAAATCAGCAAACTCTAAAGCAACTTTCCTCATTCAAAACCTTGCTGAAATATCGTTTTTAAATTTTTCGAATTTTTTTCCTATGGATACCCCTACAAAATTGTGGGTTTTCGCACTTTCCCCACTTTTGCCCCTTCGGATGGCCATAGCTCTGCCAATTTGTATCCGATCAGGAAATAAAGTACCATTCAGTAATCAGCGAACCCAGAAGCGACTTTCCTCGTTCAAAACCTTGCTGAAATATGGTTTTTAAATTTTTCGAATTTTTTCCTAGGGATACCCCTACAAAATTGTGGGTTTTCGCAATTTACCCACTTTTGCCCCTTCGGATGGCCATAGCTCTGCCAATTTGTATCCGATCAGGAAATAAAGTACCATTCAGTAATCAGCGAACCCAGAAGCGACTTTCCTCATTAAAAACCTTGCTGAAATATGGTTTTTAAATTTTTCTAATTTTTTTCCTATAGATACCCCTACAAAATTGTGGGTTTTCGCAATTTACCCACTTTTGCCCCTTCGGATGGCCATAGCTCTGCCAATTTGTATCCGATCAGGAAATGGAGATCCATTTAGTAATCAGCAAACTCTAAAGCAACTTTCCTCATTAAAAACCTTGCTGAAATATGGTTTTTAAATTTTTCGAATTTTTTCCTAGGGATACCCCTACAAAATTGTGGGTTTTCGCACTTTCCCCACTTTTGCCCCTTCGGATGGCCATAGCTCTGCCAATTTGTATCCGATCAGGAAATAAAGTACCATTCAGTAATCAGCGAACCCAGAAGCGACTTTCCTCATTAAAAACCTTGCTGAAATATGGTTTTTAAATTTTTCGAATTTTTTCCTAGGGATACCCCTACAAAATTGTGGGTTTTCGCAATTTACCCACTTTTGCCCCTTCGGATGGCCATAGCTCTGCCAATTTGTATCCGATCAGGAAATAAAGTACCATTCAGTAATCAGCGAACCCAGAAGCGACTTTCCTCATTAAAAACCTTGCTGAAATATGGTTTTTAAATTTTTCGAATTTTTTCCTAGGGGTACCCCTACAAAATTGTGGGTTTTCGCACTTTCCCCACTTTTGCCCCTTCGGATGGCCATAGCTCTGCCAATTTGTATCCGATCAGGAAATAAAGTACCATTTAGTAATCAGCGAACTCTGAAGATACTTTCTTCATTAAAAATTTTGCTGAAATATGGATTGGACAAATATTAAAAATTGTTGTTTTCTTGTCTTGTTTTTTTCCTTTATTCACAAGGTCAATTTAGGAATTACAAAGTGGCCAGTGCGTCCTGGCATGTTTTGCTAAAGGCCAAAGTGTCCTCACATTCCTTGGTCTTGGACCAACGATCCGCAGGACAATTGTGGAAGAACTGACGGATGACGCACGCTAGAACCACGCTGGGCTTAGGCTCACAGAACTGCTGGGACATCTGTTTAAAGATAGGCTTCGACAGGAACTTGGAGGTATTGTCCTCGCCTGTGGAATTCCAAGTCTTTAATCCTGATCTTTACTTTGCGATTTTTACTTACTTTTGCCATGGCAGTGGTCGAAGGCATTAATCATTTCCTTGGCATACTCAGGATCGTTTCCGAACTTTGAATTAAAATACTTCCTGACACCATCCATGTTCACGTTGTTGTCCTTCATCAGGTCGAGTTTGTTTAGGATGCACTTGCCAAAGCACGTGCCTCGAATGGCCCGATCCGCCGTGATGTCCACCAAAGCCTCCTCGGTCTGGCTGGCCAGATGAAAGCCCGTCTCCTTGGCGCAGTTCTCAATGATGTCGTTGTGGCCATCGGGATGCTTGCAGCAGTAATGGATGTGCTCCTCATTGATGGACTCGGGTTTGTCGCAATCAATCTGGATGCCACTGGCAATCTGGGAAGGATCCAATTAATTTAAAAGGATTAAGAATTCAGAGAATAACAACTCACCCAAATCAGGGACGCGAAACTCAGCAGAATCATGAACCTCATGTTGGGCAGAGACTTTCTGCCAAACCACTCACATTGAACGGCTTATATACCAGTTGGACTTATAAATATAATGAAAACAGGAAATTAGCTGCACTTAATCCAATGCCAACACCCATCAATGTGTCGGAGTCTGAAATCATTTACCATTTTTCCGCACATTGCACTTCCACATTACAACCGCCATTTGTTACATTTAATTAAGCAATCCAATTTGGAATTAGATTGATTAAACATTGAGCGCCATTTTATAAATGTTGTGCCGACTGTTGATTCTGTCCATTCAAAGAGCAATGGTCAACCTAAGCTTGTGCTGGCTGCCACTGGTCCTGGTGGCCATTTCGGAGGCACAGGGCTCTGAGGAAGCCACCACAGTAGCCTCTGCCGGTGGCAGCGACTTGACGGCGGCCAAATGTGGCAAGAAAGTATGATTGAGTTGGATTTCAAATTCTCCAAAAAGTTAATTTCCCTTTTCCTTACCAGAGGGCCGGTTGCTGCTCCGAACTGTACATTGGCGAGGAGGATGAACTCGAGAAGTGCTTCGTGATACACGCCTCAAAGTTGCCCCAGGACGGGGAATCTGACATCGGGAAGACCTTTAGATTTTTATCGGTGCGTATTTCTGAAGGGTATTCCACATGGCACTCTCAATCCAAACATACGACTTCCTTAACAGTGTTTCGTGGAGTGTTTGTACAAACAGAAGAAGTACGTTGGAAAGAGCGACACGATCAATATGAAGATGGTGAAGCTCAATGCGGAAACGACGTTCGCAGATCGTCCCAAAGAGAAGGAGTACCACATAGCCATGTTCGACTACTGCCGGAAGGATGCCTCGTCCATGTACAATCTGCTGAAGGCCAGTCCCGGAGCCAAGGCTCTTCTGCGAGGCGCCTGTCGACCCTATTTGTTGATGGTGTTCCTGTGCGTGGCCGACTACCATCACGAGCACGAATGCCCCTACTTCCGCTGGGAGGGTACCACTAAGGCGGGCACCAAGGATCAGTGCGAAAAGGACAAGGCCCAGTGCTATGCTATCGACGGCCTGACCATGCCCACCGAGAAACCCATTTAGATTTAAAAGGTACCTTGGAAATGAAAGGATTAAAATAAAGCCTATGTGTATAAAAATAAAGGACTATGTTGGGGCTTTGTGTATTTTTTTTAATCAGATTTGTCAAGGATCTATACTTCAATTTCGGAGGATGTTAAAAGCTATTTGTTGAACGTTAAGATGTTTGCAAAAACGCAGTGTGATTTTCTACTCCAGTCACACACATCCCACACTCAAATTACGCACACTGACCTCGGCTCGGGATGAGTGACTTTGATGTGCGTTGGGCGTTGATTTCAGACCGGGACAGCATCACCAAGCTAATCCGGACACCGGGCGTCAAGTGGTTCGGCAACATCCGGCAAAAGTTCTATGGCACAGACTCGCTTTTCAACTGCTACCAGACCCACAGGATGGTGGCCCATTCCGTGGAAACTTCGAAGCTGGTAGCCTACGCCGAGTTCCGTACATATCCGTCTATTACTGCCCTGCCTAACGACTGTTGGCTGGAATGGTTGTCCGTTAGATACTGGTATCTATTTGGGTTTCCTGCTGCCCTCCATGCTTTCCAATTAACCCAATCCTCCTCACCAGTTTGCCCATGCCTATTAGCTGGCTAAACACTCTGTTTTTTAACTTTTGCATTTACAAGAGCGAGTGTCCCGAGGTTCTGGCCCAAGTCCTGCAGGAAGTTTTCTACCTGGAGAACAGGGCCACGTATTTTATCACCGTAAAAATGCCCAATGTTAAGCAGCAGGCGCACTTAAAGGAGTACTATGGGGATCTGGAGAAGTTGTGCAAGATATACTATCCCCGGGAGTACAGTATAAACAACAATTTCAATACGCAGTCACTGTACATTGTGGAACGGTTCGATATGCTTCCAAAGATTACCTACCGTAAGGCACTGTAAGATTGGCTGAGGTCATCGTTCCACTCCCCAAGTAATATAACTTTCCCTGGATTCTAGGGCCGAGGATAATGACGACATCATTGCCATTCAGGAGGTCGAGATGCCGGAGCTGCGAGAGGAGCTGGGTGACTTCTATATAGCAGAGGAGCTGATGCATCAGGAGAGGGAGCCCCAAGAAGAGGGTGATCTTCTTGTGGTGGCTGAAATGAACAACAAGTGCCAGGAAACCGAGCTGGCCATCTTCATATGGATGACCACAAACTTTGACATCCGGTACTATGTGTGCAACTACGAAATGGGTTCTTTTGGGAACTTGGTGAAATTCGACCCGCGCATGTCCTTCCACTACGAAACGTTGACGGTGAGGTGAGTTCCTTTGCCGCCAACATTTCAGGGATTATCAGCTACCTGATTCTTGAACCCTTTCCGGCAGCTCGGTTCACCGAAGAGCGGCGGCCAGTATGTTCACCACGGACGCTCTGGAAGATCTCGACGCCATGACGATAGTTGGAGGACTTCAGCGCAATGACAGCGGCATGAGGTGAGTCCCTATTCACTTCTTCCATTTAAAAAAGTACATCAATGTTTTTCTGTCTTCAGTGTCGCCAGTGTTGGAAAGATGAAGGTCAGCTCGATTAACGGAACCATTGACGACGCCCATGTGTCCAAGGCCAACAAGTTCTACATGCGGGAGGTTCTCTACTCAAAGTTCAAAAACATTCTTGAAAGTGAGCCTAGCTACTTAAAATATTTTGTTTGAGAGTTTATTTAATGCTAACCCAGAACTCCGCAGTTTGGACTACTATCTAAGGCAAGAAACGAATACCATTAACTTTGTGTACAACGCCATGTCCAAGCCTCCGGGTCCTAAGGCTATCCGGGAGGCATCAAATGTTTTTCTTGTCAAGTGCGTAATGGCGCGACAGGACTTTCCACTGCCCAGGCTCTTCAATGCAGTGGTTGCCATGTTTTCTGCCTATCCGGATAAGGACTACGGCATGATGGTGATACCGAAGCGGGCCAAAGCTATCACGAGTCATATGGAGGTGCTGCAGTACTTCATAGTAAGTAGTGTGAGACAAAGACCTCCGTGGAATGACTATTGTTCTTCTAAACAGCCCGTAGCTTCGCGGCCTTCGGATGAGTCTAATCAGGAGGAGGTCTACATTACTCATCGAAGCACGATATTTGGTGAGATTAGCCTTTATAAGCTCGAGAAGGATGACGTGAGTGTCGTGCACTCGTTGTCCTTGGGCAACACGACCGAGGTAGGCTCGCCAGCGGGATCGAATAGCAGCAGCGTGTCCTACTGCTCCAAGATTAACTTGAGGGAGGAGGCGGAGAACGAGCTGGTCGTCCTGGACGCCATCATGAAGGATGTGCTGGAGAATGAGTACAGCGACTTTCATATGTTCACCATCAGGTGTGGCAACTCCACTAAGCCGGCCAAAGAGAACACCTCCGTGGGATTCGTAGTGGTCCGGCAGTTTCACGATCACAGCAAGTTGTTCGACCACTATAACCTGTCTAGAAGGGAAGCTCACCTCGACCGCCTAAGGGCCGAGATCATCTCTCTGCGCCTCCATCCGCTGTTCATAGTGAGCAGTAGTTTGATCCTAAGGGAGCTGGCCAAGAAGACGCACTTTTACGACTTTTATTTCATCACTCCTTTTTCGGTGAGTTATGGAAAGCCTTTTCGGAAATCCAATCGTTCCTTTACAATGTCCCCTTTTAGGGTAGGACGTTCTCCAATGACCTGAAGAAGATGATGATGGTCCTCGAGCCGAGGGCTTTTAAAAAAGCTCCAATTTTTTTCGAGCCCCCATACAAACGCAAAAAGGCTACCTCGTCTGTGAATCTGCCTACCTATAACTTTTCAAAGGATCACCTTATCATCTACCGGCACAGACTCTTTCCGGTAAAGTGGTTCACCAACAACAGCCGACTAGTCGTCATTGGATTCAGTTCGCTGACCAAGGCGTTTCTGCGAAAGCTAATCTTCCAATGGAATAGAAAGGAGTGAGATATATATTGTGGTGACGAAAAATTCCATTTGATGAACCCTTTTTTTTCAGTCAAAACAACCGAGGAAACTACACGTGTCTTAGTTGGGTGCAGGTAACGGTCATCTCCAGTCCGGGAATAGTGGAGGCGGAATACGACAGCCTGTTCCAGTGTCCCTACTGCTCCAATATTCGCAAGTGCTACTTGTCGTTCAACAACCGTTCCTGCTACATTCGGGACTGCTGTGTCCGTATGGATCTTCGGTTCTGGGTGCACTTTGTGCCCGGCACAGTGGAGTTCATTGAGCGGGATAAGAAATTCGTTAAGTTACAGGCCTGCGAAATTCTCTACGATACTCTGATTTGCCTGTGCTCCCAAGATTATGTGATTCGGTCTTCGAATGAGGATGCCATCAAGAAGATTCCGTGCAACTTTGTGGAACTCAATTGTCGGCTGAACAAGTTCATGCTCTACTACAAGGTGCGTGCACTCCTGGAGGAGGTGCCGCGAACCTACTTGATAGTGATTTATGGCAATAATCTCTGTACCTACGAGTGCATCTCCTTCCTAATCGAGCATGGCGTCGACCACTCTCGCCTGGTGCTGGTCCAGCCACATCGCTACACAGGGTTCGGGGAGGAGGACAAGCTGAAGAATCCCTATTGGGACAGCAACATTCAGCAAATACTGGATGACCTTCTCTCCGACAACGGGATGAGTATCTACAACGATTTTAATTTCCACCACTGGGTGGTGCATGAGACCACGGACTTCATCATGGACGTGGTCTTCCAGCACTTTCCCAGTCGCCGCATGATGACCTTTGAGTGTGACCTCTTTATTTCGTTCGATGAGGGCAAAATTAGCTATCAGGACAAGCAGTGTAGGTACAGTCTCCTTTCAAGAAAATTGACATACTTATTGTTTTGATTTCTTCAGTATTTATGGCGTCCAAACTCGAAATGGATGGTGACCGGTTGTTGGTTGGGGAGAACTTTCAGACCAGCGATCCGAATATCTATGCCGCTGGGCCTTTTGTAAAAATAAGACACGAGGTGAACTATCAGTATAGATATACTTCAGAAATGGAGATTGCCGGCAAGGTATAATGTATAAGATAACTATATATTACATTAAACTTGCATTTTGATCTTCCAGCTACTCCATCATTTGGGAATCGCCCCCCAAAAGGAATACGAGGATCGCTACAACCTGCCCCTGCACTTTCAAGCCATGTTGCCGATGAACTACTTCATCACCAAGGTGGTGATGCCAAGAAGATACCTCAGCTGCCAGTTGCCATCCTCGATGTGCTGCACCATGACGACCTACAAAAACAACATCTTCTGCCGGGTGGGCTTGTCGATGAATATGATTGTGGACGAGATTGTAGTTGTCACCAAAAAAGTGTGTTAGCTGCAAAGGGTTTCGGAATTGTTTTCATATATCTATCTTCCAGGAGGCTCACTTTGATTTTCTGCAACACTTTGTGGGCAAACATGAGCTGCTTTTGAACAATCTTAAGGCTCGCTACAAGGCTAGAACGATTGATTGTTTTATAACCTTCTTCCAAGAGCCCTGGACGGAGCTGATCATGCATGAAAATTTCGCGGACCTGCAGGCGGAAAACAGAGACCTTCTGAAACCCATGGCTATGTCCACGTTAACGGTGCTGTACTTCCTCCTATCGAATAAAATGAAAATTAATGAGAAAGTTCTTTTCAGAGGTCTAATGTGGGCGCCTTCAAGGATGTAACCGACATGGACTTCGTGACGCTGAACAAGCGCTATCTGGAGCACAAGCTGCTTAGTTTTCTGAGGGACAATCGACGAGACTTCCGGCAAAGATTCGCCTTGCCTGAGGACTTTTTCAAGGCTGAACTACCGATTTGGCTCCCAAAAACAGGGAAGTCGGAGGACGATACCGAGTAGGCTCGATTCATTTGTGAAACGAAGCAGTCGGCTCTGTGGCTTCAGATTTTGATGTATAGCACTACAACTCAGAAAATACACTCAATAGTATTGTTTTTTTAAAAATGTCTTCGAAAACTAAGATTGTAATCCTCTCGGCGGGTATCCGCGATCTGCGGCGCATCGAGGACCTCTTCGAGGCCAAAGGCACCTGGCACATTGGAAATAAACGAACTCCGCCACTGGGGGCTATATTCCATGAGCATTTGACACATCGGCTTCTGGTCTTTGACTCCGAGGAAACCATGGTGCTTCTGGCCTACGCGGAGTTCAGTAACCATCCTCCCATACCGGTTCTGTGCAACGATCTTTGGCTTTATTGGCTGGAGGCCCGTTTCTGGTAGGCGGAACTCCGGCATCCATTCCATTCTGATTCTGATTTTGATTCGTGTTCTTTTCTTTTTCCTCAAAAGCCTGGATCTGCCCATTAGCCTGATCAACACGATGTTCCTCCATTTCTTTATATGTAGAAATGAGTATCCAAACATGCTGAAGCAAGTGGTTCAGGAGGTGTTCTATGGCGAGCACAAGGTCAACTTCATCATGGTGGTCAGGCCACCAGATCAGACGGATAAAGAGTACGAGCCGGCTCTGAAGTTGGGCAAAACCTTTTATCCCATGTCCTCCAAGCTTTCTGAGCAGATGCATCAGCCGTCGATAATTATTATCCGTAGGAAGGAAATAATGCCAGCTATATCTTTTCGAAAAGCACTGTAAGTTTTTCTTCTATTTATGTCCTGGGAGTTGCCAATTCTGTTTTAGGCCTGAGGACAACGACGACATCGTCGAGATGATTGATTCGGAGGATCCGCACCTGCGAAAGACCCACGGGGACTATTATATTGCAGAGCAATTGTTGAATGTGGATGGATCGGCGGATAATGACAAAATCATTATAGCCGAGGTTGGTTTTCCAAACTTCTTTTTATCTTTCTTCCCATATCGCCACATCGACTGTCCTTGATTTCAGTTTGAGGAGGAAATAGAGGACAATGTCAAGGGAGCGGGACTGATGTGGCTTTCGGACTCTATCGATGTGGTAGACCTGGCCACTAACTTTCATCTGAACCGTTTGGGAAACCTGGCCAGATACACTCCAGGAGGCCACCACGGTCATGTTCATTTCGATGTCTTGTAAGTAGCTTGTATCCCACAAAAATCATGTTTAAGAACTCATACTTTATATTCATATGTACTTTTTAGTTCAGTAGAGAAAAAAGCGTACAAGGAGCTATACGCTCCATCCAAAATGGAACAAATGCTTATTGAGTATTCACCGTCGCATATTGAGGGGCACACTGCGAACGAAGGACAAGTAGTGCCATCAAAAAAATTAGTCCTTTCCAAATTTAAACACATTTACGATGGTGGGCTACATAACATGACTACATGCCAAGGTTTTTCTTATTATTTATATCCCTCTTAATCTCCAGAACTTCGCCACGGAAGATACTACATCAATGCCTTTCAGGAAAGATTGGAGATAGGTTTCGATATGCCTCCCGGTGAAAACTTAAGTCCCGAAAATATAAGAGCAGTCCTAAAAAACGCCCGCAACGGATTCCTCCTAAAGATGTTCCAGCTGCACCCACTGGTTCGATCCGAATACACCTTCTTCAGCCTGTCCGCCATGTTCAGTGCCTTTCCCGAGCACGATTACTGCGTGACGAAGGTGCCCACCACCACCACCATGAGTCCCTGCCAGCGCGAGTTGCTGCGTTTCTTTTTGGCAAGACACAGAGCTTTGGAAAAATTAGTTTCGTTTTAATTTGTTCCTCCTTAGCCTGTGCCATATCGTCCCAATAGCTCCGTAACCGACAACCTCTTTGTGGCACATCGCAGCACTTTGTTTGGAGATCTCAGCATTTACCGCGTGGAGAGACACGATGTCGAGGACATCAAATTGATTATCACATCTCACTACCACAGAAGAGAAACTGTCGACGCCGAGGAGGAAGATGAAGGGCTTGATCCATACATCGAAGAAGTCCTTGACACGGTCCAGCTAATGCTCAATGATATATTCGACAATCCCCGAACCAACCTCAGCTGTTTCATGATACGCTGCGGCACCTCCAAGAACATATCCGATTGTTCGGTTGTGGGTTTCGTATTTTTGAAGTAAGCATTTGAATGTTTCTGAGTATTTGACTAATACGGCCTGTCCTTAGACCGTTTTTTTTCTACGACGACTTGATTAAGTTCTTCATGCTGCCTCAGGATCAGTTTCATCTGACCCACAATCGCGGCGAGGTCTTGATGATTAAGTTGCATCCATTTTTCCAGATGTGGGCCGATCCTATATTCCGCACTGTGGCGTTACACGAGAACTATTTGGAGCTGTTCTACTTTAATCACTTTTGGGTTGGCATCCGGTTGCCATCTACCATCAAACATTTAATATTTTTTTCTTGGGTTGCAGGGAACAACGTTGCCAAACGATCTGACCAGCTATATGATGCCCATTGAGCCGCGTCGCATGAAGAAGAATCTCTTCGATAAGTATCATTTCAACTTGCCTAGACATCCATTGCAGCAATCCAACACCGAAGGATGCTCCAGTCGCGTTAGAGTCTTCTGTCACAATCTAAAGGTAAACAAGTATCTTGGTTTCAAAGGATCTTTGGTGGTTGTAGGTTTCTCGGAGACTTGTCGATGTTTTTTGCGCATTGTAATCTTTGCCTGGAATACAAAAGAGTAAGGAATTTGGGAGATAGCTCGAATGTAACGCAGACATTACCTAAATGATTTCTTAGTCTGCACAACTACCAGAGGTACAACTGTATTCCCAGTGTGGATATTACGGTGGTGGTGCCACACGGAGTGCTGGAGGCGGCCTACGACTGTGACTTTAACTGCAAGTACTGTGGCGGACACAGGTACTGCTACGTGAACACCGGCAACCTGAATCCCTTTGTCAGAGACTCGATGCAGCGCATGGATCTGAGGCAATGGGTGCGATTCGTTCCCGGGAACATCCAGCGCATTGATAGGTAACACAAGATTCACGTGGTAATTACAAACAAATTATTTTAAATATTTAAGGGAGAACAACATGCTGGAGTTAGTAAGTGGCTGCAAGATCCACTATGAAAAGTTGTTGCTGATGGATGCGTCCAGGTACGGGTTTGAGGACAGGGAGTTCCAGGTTAAAAGTCCTCCACTAAACTATGTGAAGAGCCACCACCGGCTGGACAGGATTATCTTCTATCACAAACTTCAGGAAATAGTCTCAACATTGGAATCGTTCACCATTATAGTCTACGGCTATGGAATGTGCGTCTACGAGTCCATTCACTTTATGGTCACGCACGGCTGCCCAGCTGAACACATCATCTATGTCCAGCCCAATGTTCCGCAGGGACCTGAGGTGCTGCTGAATCCCGAGACGGACTCACGACTAGACCCTATTTTCCTGGACATGATAGCAGATATGGGGGTCACGATCTATCTGTCAACGAACTATCAAAGGCTCGTTCTGGATGTTACGCACACCTTTATCGAAAAAGTGGAGTTTATTGGAATACCCAGCAGGACAAAGTTAACCTTAACTTGCGACCTGTTCGTGAACTTTAATACCATATTGTTGACTTCAGAGATGGAGAGAAGTAAGCCGGGCAATGTGCTCTGTTTTGAGGTCTAATAACTGCTATTACATTACAGTCCTCTCTGAGTGCGACATTAAGATGAAAAATCGGAAGATCGTGGTCAACTCACACTATTGCACCAACGATCCGAATATCTATGCCGGTGGGCGGTACGTGGAAATCGAACCGACTCCTAATTTCCAGTTCAACTACATCTCCGCCCAAGAAAGAGCCGAAAAGGTGAGTATAAGCTTCCGATCCTTTGACCACCACTCATAGGTTGCTTCATTAGTTGGCCTACGAATTAAATGTCGTAAAGGGTCCGATGCAGGCCAGATACTCCAGGCCCCACATGTTCACGGGAATGCTCCCCATGAATTACCAGATCATAAAGGTCATCCAACCCAGGCCCCTGATGGTGGGTCAGCTTACGGCGGACTATGCTGAGAGCATGACCACCTTTGACGACGGCGATTTCTGCCGGGTTCGGATCAACAGCCAGCTGGTGGTCATCGAGATTGTGTGCGTCACCAAGAAGGAGAAACGGCTGTACTTCCTGGAGTACTTTTGCGGCAAGCATGTCCTGCTGCTGAACGATTTGCGCAACCGTTACCAAGCCGGTTGGATCACGAACTTTCTGGAGTTCTTCCAACGCCCCTGGACAGAGCTCATAATGCACGACAGATTCGAAGAGCTTCAGCTCAAGAATCGGAGGGTCCTGCTCTCCATGCTGCTGATGAACACCGGCGAGGCTGCGAATGCCACTCAAAAGCTTAGAGGCAGTGTGGAGAACATTCAAAGGCAGAGGCTCGAGGAGAACGTAATCGAATTCGTTCGAACCAATCGAAGGGACTTCATTCACGCCTTTGCCCTGCCCGAGGATTGGGGCGTTTTCAATCTTTAATTTGGTCGGGGCTTTATATTTTCGCAATTCTTTGTTGCCCTTCCTAGAATGCTTCTCGTTTGCGAATAAAACGCTTCTTAAATGTTAATTAATAATTGTAATTAAATGTTTATTCTGTATTGCATACAATGCTAATAACTAAACCAATTCATTGCAAGTTTTTACATTGCTCAACATATTAAGTCTATTAATAATTGGGATTAGGCTACGTACTACATTTCGTTAGTCGCTTCGATTTGCTGTCAAGTTAGTATAACACGATTATCTTTCTTAGGCGCGATGATTGCTTATTCAAGTATTCTACAAGCTGCTGGCACTCTTCTACAGGGGCGTGCAGGAGGGGGCCTTGCGCCGCGGAGGTCCTGGGCCGTGGCCGAGGGGCAGGGGGCTCAGGCCACTGGGGAAGACGATGACGTGGTGGTTGAGCTGGCCTCATATGCCCTGCAAGTACCTTCGTAACTCCTCCTCGGTGTCGAAGATCATTACGGGGAAGGGTGAACCGGGTACGAACTCTCCGGCCCACTTGACCTCCACTCTATAGTCGCCGGGTTCCGTAGGATCGTACTGGAAAATAGGACACGTTAGATTCAGTGCATCAAGTTTGTGAAAAATAAATCCTACCTTGCACAGAATGGTGCGATCCTTTTGGCTCTCCCGCTGCATTTCCACGCGGAAGGCTCCCTTGGGGCCACGAACACGGACTGTCAGCTGTCCAGCTCCAGCTCCTCGGGTGTCGCAGATAAAGCGCGACTGGAAGGTGGCCAGTACACCGTGCTCTATGCCAGGACCATAGACACGAACCTATGGGTGATTGTGTGAAATTAGTTGTAAAATAATTATTACTTTTAAGGGACTAACCTTGCTGGCATCTGGAGCTCCGGCCACTTTCAGGGCAAACGGCGATCCTGGTACGTTTTGTCCTCCGTATTTGATGGTCAACAGATGACGACCCGGCTCCTGGGGCTTTATGTTCAGGGTAAAAGTGGCATCGCCGTGATCGTAAAGCTCGCAGTAGGCCACCTTACGCACACCGGCACAGTGGGCGGTGAGTTCGCCTGGGCCAGCTCTCCTGGTGTCTATCCAGGACTTTATGTCCTTGCCAACAATGCCGTGACGCAGTCCCTCACCTGAGGCGATCACCTTGGAGGCGTCCATCGAAGAGCCCACGGCTACGGTCAGGGGACATCCCTTGACGAGTCGGCCGTTCCATTTGACGGAAAGATTCAGAGTGCCTGTAGTAGACTTTTGTGGGGTGTAGGAGGCCACCCAGATGTTTTCGCTGGGACGAGGTTGCGCCAAGCTGACAGGCAGCGACGAGTTGTCCTGGGCGGTGAGGATCACCTCCGGCTTGCCCACCGGCGCATTCGAAGCGTCGATGGTGAAATGGGCCGCCTCTCCGGCCTGCGCTGCCGCCAAGCCGCGTCCCATGAGCTGAACCTTGTCCGCTGCCTGCTGCCCCGTGACATAAGCGCTCCTCGGGCACTGGGTGATGGTGAGGCCGCTCCAGGTCAAGTCCAGATCGTGTTCTCCGGCGGCCAGATTCTCGCCAGTGATATTTAGGCACATTTTGCCGTCAGCAAACTTTTCCACCGGAATCTCGATGCCGTCGATGCTGCAGACCAGCTTTCCCGGACCCGCGTTCTCCACATCAAAGATTATGCGAGCGGGCAGGATTAGTCTGCCGTCGTGATCCACCAGAGTACCCCAGCCGCCCACGGGCGACACTTTGTTAGATTCCACGCAGCTTATGTGCCAGGGCGATCCCGGCAAGCTTCCGCGATTCGGGCAGCTGGCCCGGATCTCGTATTTGCCCACGGAAAGTATGGTGTACGAAATGCGCCACTCGTTGTTGCCCAGAGCCTTGATCTTGGGCTCTATCCGCTCGCCGTACTCGTCCAGACGCTCGATCTGAACGTTCGGGGCAATCGGGCAGTAGACTACAAAGGAGGCCTCCTTGTTCCGGTGGCACACCTCCAGGCCGTGGCCAGCGGCTCGAGCATCGTTCCTGACCCCGCTGGCCGAGGCCGTGAAGTTAAGCGGGGAACTGGGAATCGTCTCACCTCCGTACATCAGGGTCAGTTTGTAGTTGCCAGGCTGCGATGGGACGAACTCCACGTTGTAGACTCCGTCCGACTGTTCGCTGATCAATACGGGCAAGCTCTGGTTGCTGGGCGAGATGGCGAAGGCCTCCAGTTCGGCTGTGCCGGCGTTGTCCGTGCGTACGGTGAAGCTGTTGGGGCTGTGCAGGGCCAAGGGCTCCTTGGTGATGCCCTGGGTGGTGACCTTACTGCTGTCGAAGGACTCGCAGGTAAAGGGACTGCCGGGCAACGGCTTCGATTGGTGAAGAACCTCTGGAGAAAAACGGGAGGATTAATAAGAAGCTTGGGAATCCATAAACACACTTACCAATCACACACTGCCCTGGCTTGTTGATTGTGAACTCGGCCTGCAGGTGGCCGTTCTTGGTCTGATAGCATCTGACGGGCAGAGCCTGTCCTCCTGGCCCTGAAACCACCACATCAAACTCCCGCGCCGGCCTCTTTACTGTATCAATGGCGAAGGACGTGGTCTTGCCCACTCGAGCCTGGTACAGCCCCAGGCCACTGACACTGATCTCCTTGCCGGCACTGGCGGGCAGCACATTGATCTCCAGCGGCTTTAGGGAAATGGGCACGTCATTGAAAAGGATGCTGATTTTGTGCGGAGCCACTCGGGTGGGCTGGTAGACGATTTCGTACACCCCGGACTTGCTGGGGCCGCGGATGGTGTGCGGCACTTCGGTGGCACCACACCGGACCAGGGCGGACAAATCTCCCTGGCCAGCCTCGTTCAGGGAGACTCCGATGCTGGCTGGACGATGGCAGAAGGCCTCGCTCACCTCTGTAATCTTGACAAGCGTGGGATCAAAAACGCACAGGGTGCGGGAGCCGATGTGTTGCCGAGTCTCTCGATCAATGAAACGGAGAGTGTAGTTTCCGGTCGTGTGCGTGCGGAACTCCGCCGTCTGGCGATTTATGGAGTAGGGCACCGACTTCTGGTCTGGCGAGAAGATCTCCACGATCTGGTCGTCTGCCGGGAAATCAATGGCAGCCAGACTGCCGATCTGGATGTGTTGGGTGTGCTGTTGGATGTCCACGCGGAAGGGGCTGCCGTCGACAGCCACCTCGTTGAAGGTGATGTTCACGTAGTGGGGTTCCGTGCTCTGCGGCACAAAGGTCACGTCGTACAGACCGCGGGCACAGGCCACCACTTCGGCCTTGACAGTGCTGCTGTCGGTGGAAACGACCAGTTCCAGGGTTCCCTCGCCGGCTCCTGCGGCGTCCACACTGAAGGTCACCGGAACTCCCAAAGTGGCTGGTCCGTACTGTTGTTCCAGGCCACTGATGCTCACCCGAGACACGTCGAAGACGTTGCAGCTGAAGGGTGAACCGTTGATGTGCTGATCATTAGCAGTCACACTGATCAAGTGGCGACCCACGGTGGTGGGTCTGAAGCTGGCGGAGTAGCTTCCTCCGTCGTGCTGGCTTAGTTGGCAGTGCTCGTTATCGCCCGAGGGCGAGGTGACGAAAATCTGCGGCTCCACGCCCTCGAAGCCTTCCAGCTCAAAGGTGTTATCCATTTTAACGGCAGCCTGCTTGAGGCACTCGCCCATGGCCATGGCCCTGGGTAGTCCCATCGAGGGCGAGGATGCTGCCGCCGCGATGTGGCAGCTGAACGGCGATCCGGGAACCGGGTGTCCATTGAATCTCACGGACAGCGAGTGGGTGGCCGCCTCCGTGGGCTTGAAGTTCACCTTGAAACGGGCGTTGCCCTCGGACTGGACAAAGTTGGGAACATTCTTGCCATTTACCGCCACGATGATCTCCAGATTTCCGGCTCCAGCCTGGGAGGCGTTAATGCCAAAGCTGACACTTTTGTTCACCACCCCAGATCGTATGTCGGTCACGATGACCTTCTCGGCAGAATACGCCTTCAGAAGGAAGGGACTTCCCTCGACGTGGCCACCGCCGGGAAGACGCACCTCCACGGAATGGTCACCCACCTCCATGGGCTCGAACTTGACATTGTAACCGAGGGTAGAGCTTCCCAAGGGATCGATCTTGACGGGCACACTGCGTCGTGCTGGTCCCAGCACCTCCACCGTGGGCTTGGTGTCCGACTCCACTATGAACTCGAACAGCCGGCCCACGCTCACCTTGTCCATACTCTCCGGGGACTGGATACGGGCGGCGGCTGCCACTCGGCAGGTGAAGGGGGATCCGGGCACATCCTGGCTATTAAATCGGAGCTCCACCGTATGACTCTCGGCCTCCCGAGGGGTGAAGCTGATGGCGTAGGTGTGCTGTCCCTGGGCCTGGGCGGAGGTGGGCACCCTGCCACCGTTGACAGTGACCTCCAAGTTGCCGGGTCCAGCCTGGGAGGTCTCCACCAGGAAAGTGACTGGCTTGCCCACGGTTCCGCTGCTTACATTCTTCACCTTGATGGCGCTGACATCGTATACCTGGAGGAGGAGTTACTTTTAGATTATCCTTTAACGGATGAAGCGCTTTACTTACCTTTGCTGCATAGGGACTTCCGGCGGTGGCCAATCCATTGACCGTGACATTGACGCGATGCTCGCCGACGACGCGGGGCACAAACTCCGCCTTGAAGACTCCATCAGCGGACTGATGCACTTGGGCAGGAACCGACTGGCCAGCAGGTCCTGATTACCCAGCGATTTTGTTTGGTTTTTTGTTTACCATTTATTCGTATTTGATTTTAGTATTTATTAATTATTATTTTTTGTTGCGACGCGGCCGGAAACGAGTTTTGAGATTGATTTCGTTTGTTTTTTTTGTTGAAATTCGATAATTGGGCGACGGTCGATTGGGTCAGATTTGTGTTGGGTTAGTGTTGGGTTTTGTTTTGTTTTGGTTTTCAGTCGCGAATGAGGCGAAAAATTTGGAAAAATGTTCACTGGATTAGTAATGGTATTAAGTGGAAACTTTCAAATGTCGGCCAGTCTGGGGTCTTGGGATTAGTGGTGTGTGGGGTGTTCCTTAATTTGAGTCATTTACTTGGAGTGCGGTTAGTCTTGATTGATTATCGTTGGATCGGTTGTGCCAGAAAAAGTTAGTAGACTGATATGTGTGAATGTGGAGGGTCAGACACAATTATACGAGTTTCCCAAAGTCGATCTGTACAGGGGACCCCGGGAGATCCCCGCCAGGAGAGGCCCTAATGGATGTACAACCTGCTGGTGTTTGTTTTAAACCATTTTGTTTTATTTTGATTCGAGTAACTCTACAAATTAATCGGTATGAAACAAATTAGTAAACAATCGGACATTAGTAAATACTTCATGTTGTTATTGTATTGGCATCTCTGGTTCTCAGGGTTATGTTCTGGGGTTCGGACTGTTAGCAAAGTATATATACACCGGGTGAATAGCATATATATATATATAGGGGGAGTGCCCGGGGGCGCCTCCCGTTTAGGTATAGATAGGTAATATAAGTAAGTATATGCATATATATTTATATATAGTCTAGTACAAAAGATTTCGCCGTCCTGAAATATAATACAGATACAAAAGTGAGCAACATTATTACAAAAAGGACAAAAGATTACGTACAAACAACAAGGACAACCACAAATGCACACAAAACACACAAGGAGGAGTACGCCGAGCCGAATAACTAATGATTAATAGCAACTGGATGCTGGACTGGAATCCATCCCTCCCTGGGGGAATGCTTGCATAAATTCGCAACTACTTCTGGGGGACAAAAACACAAAAGCATCGGACAGAACGGATCTCTTAAATGGCAACAGTCGTACCTCCCTAAAGCGAAACTTAAGCGGCAGCAGTGTGCACCTTCACCTTAGCTAGGTCTGACTGTTCAAGCAAATTACAAATGTGTGGCATAATTGCACCGACTGCGTATCTCATAAATCCACTCTCTAAGTGCAGCACCTTGGCTTCGGATAGCAGATGCATCTTGGGGGGAGGCAGTGTGGGGGTGACGGTGTGAGGGTCATGGATAGTGGGTGAAAAGTGGGCGGTAGCAGGTAGCAGGTAGCTTGCGACTTTCCACAACGATTTCCGCTCATACAATTTTGCTGTACAAGTTTTTGTGCGTGCGCTCTGGTGCGGATGTGTATGTGCGATGCGGAATAGATACAGTTGCAGAGTTGCAGATACAAACAAAAGATACAAATAACAGATATATGTAGATACAGTTACAGTTAAAGCTACCAGATACGAGACTTGTAGTATGCAAATGGACCCAATCGAATAATACACTTGGCAGACACAACATGTAGCAACGAGCAATTAAGTTACGAGCCTTAAACCTAAAACCAGATGAGGCGGAACATAAAAGGAGCAACATGAATGGGATTCGGGGGTCGGGGCGGGGTTCCATACAAAACCGATGACTGGTGGTTAGCGGGAATGGGATCTCGCCCAGCAGCGGGTCTAGAGCCTACATACCTTCCACGTTCACCTCGATGTCCTCCAGACGGCCGCCGTTGTGATTTATAACAAAAGAATTGGTCTGATGCACGGGACCCGGGCCGCCGAGCGACACCTGGGGTCCGGCCACGCCCCCGCTGATGCTGACCGTGATCGGGCAGCCGGGAACGGGCATTTTGTTGAAGGACACGTTGATCGTGTGCTCGCACGACTCGGTGGGCACAAACGAAACGGAGAATCTGCAAGGGACACACAAAACATTATAGGATTGGTAGGATTAGAAAGCTAGAATGGAAGACCCACCTTGCACTGCCCTGCGGATGCACCTGGGTGGGGATGTTCTGTCCCTTGGCCGAAATCGTTATCTCCAGGTTGCCCTCACCGGCATCGCCTGCGTCCACCGTGAACTGCACCGGCCGGCCCATTGTGCCGCGGGATACACTGCCCACAACGACCTTGGTGGCGTCATAGGATTTGGCCAGGAAGGGGGTGCCCTGCACGGCGAAGCCGTTGTACTCCACATTTATTGAGTGGCCGCCGACGGTGGTGGGCGTGAACTCGGCGGTGAAGCCGGCATGGATGTCTCCGGTCACGCGAACGGGCAACTCCCCTTGGGGACCCCGAACACTGACCGCCAGCTCGGCTGCCCCGCCTCCACTGACGGTTATGTGGAAGGAGGAGGGTCGGTTGACCGGAATCAGCTCCAGATTGGAGAGATTTAAGAGCACACGGGACGTGTCCGCCACGGCGCACACAAAGGGGCAACCGCGCACCGTCTCGCCATTGAACTTGATGTCGATCAGATGCGACTTGGCCTGCTCCGGGGTAAAGGAGACCAGGCAACGGCCACCACCCACCACCTGGACGTGATTGGGCACCTCACCCTCGTTTATGGATATCTCCAGCTGGCCCTCGCCCGCCGCGCTGGCGTCCACGCGGAACTGGCACGGCTGGCCGACCACGCCGCCATTCACCTCCGTCACCTGGATCAGGCTGGAGTCGTAGACCTTGGCGATCAGCGGGCCGCCAGCGATCTTCGTGCCGTTGATGGACGCATCGATGACGTGGGTGCCCACCTCTGTGGGCACGAACTCGATGCGTGCAGCACCATTTGCCGCCTCGTGGGTGACTCTGGCGTTAAGCTTTGACTTACTGGGAGTCAAAACCGTGGCCACGCACTCGCCCTTGCTCAGGCTTTGTCCAGGAGGCGGCAGTATCTCAAAAACCGCCGGCGTATTGGCGGGTACCAGGCGCGTCGATTCGCCTAGAGCGGTCAGGCCGGGTGAGGACATGATCTCAGCGTGCCACGGTGAACCTGTAAGAGACCAGATGGATGGAAGCCATTAGTATGTGATTGGATGATTGTCTGGAAATTGCAATAAACATAAATAGCTAATTCAGCGATCGACTAATAACGATATTTGACCCACAAAGCTAATGTTATTGCCATGCAGTTGTGGCTCAGGTAATGGAGGCCACAAATGGGGGCATACTGAAGGGGCGGGCTATAAAAACTTCTTGGGCAACCCTCGCATTCTTTGGCTGGCAAGGTTTCCGCTGCGACTTTGCATTGTTGTGCGCTGCGTCTCATTATAATTGTCGCAATCTCAATCTGTGCCGCCTCGTTGCCAGCGACAAGTGCGTATCTGAGTATCTCTACTATGTGTATCTGTAAGCTGGGTATCTGTATCTGGGGCTTGCCTCTATCCACTAGTATCTGTGGCAGCCGGCGACATAATTCCGTCCCGAGTTAGTTCAGGAATGTTTCGAAACGAAAACCCCGAAAGCCCGAAAGCCTGAAACCCGAAAGCATCATTAAATTGTTTGGCGGAGAAGCGAATCATTCGAGTGGCTCGGAGCAATGCGGCTGCCAATTTGCGATGGCGGCTCTGAAGATTGGCAATCGGGCGGCTCGTTAAATGTTTGCTTATTTGTGGGCGCTGGCATCTCCCAGCTCCCAGCTCCATGCTGCTCCCCATATCGCAGCAATTTTTATTGGACATGGCTTGGTCGGTATTCGGTATTTGGTATTTGGTGTTTGGTTTGTTCGCCCCGGCGCTCAAATTTACTTTTGTTTGCAACTTTCCATGCATTTCTCTTTTCCTTCAGTTTTTTTGCCATTTTTTTTTGCAATTGTTGCACTTTTCCTTTTAGTGCTCGTTGGCAGTTGCTGCTGTGCTGTGCAGCTGTTGTTGCTTTTTATGGCTTTCCATGAAAATTGCAGCAACGGTCAGTTGGCAGTTCGATGGAAAAAAGACACCATCGAACTGTTGCGCTGTCATAGCTCAAAACTTGCCACTTGCCCCCTTTAAAGTGCCATTCCCTGGGAAACTTCAAGCTCCGTTTTTGAAAACCTTTTTTTCTTTATTTGTCCAAGCAATGAAACTGAAAATTTACACTACCCCGCCACCCAGACCCTTCGTTTGGCACTTCGAACAGCTTTTGTAACTGTTTCTGGCGGTTCGGCATCCCACCAATTGGGGCCATCATTAATCAGTTATCACATTCCCATAACTCTCTGGTCCCAAACACTCGGCTATGGCCGGGGGCTATGCAATAAAATACAGTTAGCCCCCAGAATCTAACGCACCAAGTCAAAGTTTGGCGGCTCGTAGATTGGCCATTCGAGGCATGTGGCAAGAGCATCCGCACTTCATCCGATCCGAAAAAGTCGCCTTCTCGACGATCTTTCAGGCCGGTTTCCCAGCCAGGCTGAGTTGTTGCCTTTCGGCTGGAGAACAAGTGCACCTAAGCTTCTAGCGCTGTTATTCAATCTGCATAGTCTCCTATAGAAATAGTTAGATACAGCACTGAGAAGAAATAGTTCTAAAAGATAAAAAGATACTACTTCTGAAAACCCAATACCTAGACCGAGATCTATAGTTCCATAGATAGTTCTTTAGATACGGATATAGTTGTATAACCCCTCAAGTAACCCACTTTATAGACCCCTACTGACCAAGATTCTTCGCTCAGTGTACACCTGCGGTTACGTGACTGGCCGCAAAAGCCCGTTAGATGGCCTGCAGGTGTCGCAGAAGTCTCATTCCGAATCTGAATCTGAACCTGACCGTTACACCGACTAGGTATTTTTTTTATCAAATATGTTAGCCGGGAGAAGTAGCAAGAGATTTACGTTTTTTAGTGGCTGGAAACTGGAGACTGGAGGTGCTGGTGTCGACAGTGCAAGATTACTGGACGATCGGGGTGCTTCAAACTCCACACTCCCCGATAATCTGATGAGGTATCTGAAAACGCTGATGGACCTGATTCTTTTGTTATAATCGTCGGCACGTCTGAACTTGAAAGAGGTGAAAAATTGTATTGTATCGCTACGATTATGTCAGCGGGTTGTAAATTATTTATTTATGTGTAAGATTCGAGCACAATTATGCTGCGAGTGCGAGTGCTGCAATCTGAATTTCAACAAAAAAGACAACGATTTAGCAAAAGCGTTTAAAAGAATGTGCCGAGCGTTGCATTAAATGACATCGCGGCACGACCACGATTGGTAGCACGTTTTAATCGCGTTTTTTCCACGAGCTTCGCGGCACTTGAGTTTGTTTTATTTTTAGTTTATTATTCTTTTTTTTTTAAATATGCATTTATCACTTTCGAGTTGAACTCCAGCTCTCTGGTCGGGGGGTCTGGGATTGGGGCAAGTGGTTGGGGTTAAGGGGGCGCGCCAGAAACCAGTTTTCGACAATTTTTGTTATTAAATTATGCAGACCGACAGACAGGCAGTTTCACTTTGAACGGCGCTCGGCTGCTGCTCATAAAAATCCCAAACAGGCGAGCGGGCTGGAAGTGGGAATGTGTGCCAATATGCTGAGCGGAAATGGCCAAAAGCGTTGGGGTAAAAGCGGCTTAGGGGGGTCTTAGCCATCGGTGAGAGGTGTGGCCGTTTTGTTAACAAAAAAAAAAGAAACGAAACCGAGCTGGAGCTGGAGCTCGAGCCAGGCCAAACGAAATCGAAATGTTTGCTCACTCCGTTTAAACTTTTAAGCAAATGTATCTGGGGGAGAGTGTGTGATTCGGTGAAGGAAAGTGGCCGACGTGGCCACGAAATCGCAGATATCTCGCGCATACCTGTCGCGCCCTCCTGACAGACAGACAGACAGACAGCCAACCAGCCAGGCATACCTGACTGACAACCTATCCCAACGGGTTTTGGGCTGCAGCAGGAGCTTGAGTTACCAAGAAGTAACGAAAAAGGAGACAGCGAACAGGTAATCGAAATGGCCCAGGTTTTCCCTGGGCCTGGCACTTTGATTTCCGTTTGGCCAAAAGACAAAGGCATGCAACAAGAGCGCCTTGAACCACATACACACAGATACGGATACCAGTAGAGATATGTACCAGCAAAGATACAGATACAGGCCAGAAATGTTGCAGTTTGCCATTCCAAAGAGCAAAACAAAATGGCTGCCCCCTTCGCCGCCGCAAATAAATTGCATCGCCCCGCGGAGACAGTTTTCTTCGCATTATTGATTCTGTGGCTTAGACTGCCGTCTTCTAGCTGCCAGCTCGGAGCTGCTAGCTGAAATATTTTCAGCTTAAAGGTTCATTAAACTGGTTTTCGTTCGCACAACACCACACAGACCCCAAAAAAAAACAGAGAGTGGAGGGGCGAATATTAGCATATTTCTTTGGCTTAGAAATCTCACACACGGAATCTTTTCGATTCGCTTCACATTCCGGGAATACAAAAAGATCCGTTCTTTCCGTTTTTTTCCCCGTGTTTCTAGCCAACTGTTGTTTTGTTTATGCCATGGGTTTCTCTATGTTTTCAACAAACAATTCTTCACTTTTATCTGATTCTCTGTAAGCCCCACGGGGAGGGCACTATCACAGTCACAGCACTGTCTGTTGCGGTGCGTTTCTTGCCAATTTTCCTGGCTTATACCGATCGAGAGTTGGTAACTGCGTTTGCCGCCGACGTGTCAGTTGTGTTTGGAGCGCGATCTTCGACTGCCAACGCGACTCACGACCAGCGATCTCTCCAGCTAGCGACTTCTTGGCCGGAAACCCGTCCAACAGGTAGGAGTCACACCTGAGAGCGTCGGAGCGTAAACCTCCGTAGGGTAGCTTCAGGTGAGCACAGGTGAGAGCGGTTTTTGTAGCAGAGAGCACGAGAGATACAAATAAGTATCTTAATAACAGAGCGAGGCAGAGAGCGTTATGAATTCGCCGCACAGTGTCTCTAGTTGGCTTAAATAGTTACGAAATCAATTGAGAGTTCTAGAGGCAGAGGCTAACACTTTCGTCACCCTTTGAAAACTAATCCCTAATTCCTAATCAAATTCTTTAACATTTTCTCCCAGTGCACACCAATAGAAAAACCATTACGCTATTGATGTTCAAGATCATCGCCAAAAAATGCCAAAAAAATGCGGGTGTGGGGGCTTTGACTTTATAAGTCTGTGCGCTACCCAACCCGCCCACGTGAAGAAGCATTCCTCAACTCGAAACTCACCTGGAACTGTCTCGCCATTGAAGGTGATCTGCACTGTGTGCGTTCCATGCTCGTGCGGCGTGAAGCTGGCCACGAATCTCTGGCCTCCCAGCGACCGAACCGAGGAAGTGACTCGACCGCCGTTGACGAGGATCTCCAGATTACCGGAGCCCGCCTTGGAGCCGTCGATCTCAAACTCCACAGGCCGCCCGATGGAGCCGTTCGGAATATCCTGCACCCGGATAGCTCTAGCACCAGTGGCATTGTTGTCTATGGGCCGAAATCTAGAGAGGGAGCTATAGCCGTACCCCGGAGTGGGTCCGTGGCCGTTGCTCTCGGTGACCACGTGTTCGCTGGACTCCTTCACGGTCTTGGTATAACCGCCTGACTTGTCCGTGTAGGTATTGTTCGAGTGTGACTTGACTGTAATGGCACTTGGTCTGGAAATAGAGGTACTTAAGGACACTATTCCGAGAAGTGTAATCCTGAAACTCACTTGTAGCGCTCTCCATCATCCGGGGAGTCCCGGCGATAGTCCGACTGTTGCTGCTGCTGCTGTTTGTGCAACGCAAACTTATTGTACTGCGTATTCCGGTGCGTCTCGTGGTCCAGATCCGGACGATTGTACTGCAGTTCCGTGTTTAGCTGCGTCTCGGTCATGTTCGCCAGCGATTCGAGCGAATTGTGCGAGAGCATGTGCTTTGTCTTGTTAATTACGTCCCAGCTGTCGCGCCGGGCGGATGCGGGCTTCATCGAGGACACCCTCACATTGGAGGAGTGGTCGATGCGCGGTTCCGGCGACCCGGTCCGCCGCAGCCTTTCCGTGGTGCCGTACAGCGAGGGGCTGGCCCGGACATTAGAGTCGGTGACGTAGTTCGAAGTAGACTTGTAGGTGGATGACTTCTCCACGGTGCGGGTAGTTTCGTAGCCATTCTGCAAGAGGGGATGTTTAGTATTTCTGAAAGATATACTGTAATGTATAACTACCTTGTTGAGGGTATTGGTCACCGGACTGCCCATCCTGTGGGTGGCCGTGGTGATGTAGGCACTGTTCGGGGAGTACCGCTGCACGGGCGACACGGAGGCGTGCCGCGGACTGTTGCTAACGTTGCGAGTGGAGCTCTCGTACTGATTGGAGGTCTTGATGGTCAGCGGACTGTGGGTGTGCACCTCGCTGGAGCGGGTCTGTATGGGCGGCAGGAGGTATAGAGTAGGATTAGCAATGGAGCTGGTAAGGCCTTGGAGTTTAGACACAAAAACGGGTATAGAATTTGGGACACCGAATCGAAACAAACAAAATTTAGTTACATTGAGTGTGGGACTAGGTATTGGGCTAAGCGATCTGGTCAGGGTGCTGGTGGCCAGCTGCTGGTGTCGCTGCTGGAAGCTGCTGCTGCTGCTGGTGCTGGTCACTTCGCGCTCCTCGCGCGGCGGTGCCAGCTTGGGCTTCGTCACCCCGCGCCTCTGGCTGTACAGCTCGTTCTCCTTATCGAAGTAGTAGTCGTTCTTGGTGGAGCTGGTGTTGGAGGCCTTCGAGTCGCGCCGGGCCCCGTTCAGGGTCTCCGTGTAAAGGTCAGCGGAGTTCAGGTACTTGACCGTCGGCGAGCCACTAACTGGGGGCGGCGAGGTGTGGTTCTCCTGTCGAAGGTACTGTTCAGTGTGTGTGTTCGGGACGGGGAGTGATGGGGTGTGTATGTGTTAGCCAAACATTCAAATTTTGATGGGTTGGGGTTGAAGGTGAAGTTAAGCCCATGCCGCATGCCGTAGCCCCTCTTGTCCATATCTACTTACCTCGCTCTCTCGCTTATAGTACCTGGAGCTGGAACTATGGTAGTCGGTTGTGTCCAGCTTAGGGGAGTACTGCGGCGAGTAGCTGTTGGTCCTCTCAGCCGTATTGTGCCTCGATAGCGAGGAGTTCCGGTAGTCGTTGTGCCTGGTGTTGGTGGTCGAGATGAAGTGCATCGAGGGACTTTCCGAGCGGTGCTTGCTGTCATGGAGTGGGCTGCTTCGCGTCTTCCCAGATCTTCCCTTAGTGCCCACGCGCATGCTGAAGTAAATGAGTGGAAATAAGCCAGGATTCTTGGGTTCGAAAATTATATACTCACATGAAGGGTGATCCTTTGACATCGTAGCCATTGAAGTAGATGTAGACTCGGTACTTTCCATTCTGCCTGGGCATGAAGGTCACGCGGTACTTGTTCTCGACGATTTTCTCCACGGAACAGACCAGAGAGTGCTTGTCATGGACGATGTCTACGTGGAGTTCCCCGGACACGCCTACTCCCCGGGCGTCCACCTCGAAGGTGTGTGCCCGGAGGGGCATGGCTCCGTCCAGTCCGTGGACGGATACGCCCGAGGAGTCGAACACGGCACAGGTGAATGGTCCGCCCTGGATGTGGCGGCCCTGGTAGGTGATGGCTATCTCCCAAATGCCCGCCTCGTCCGGCTTAAATATGGCACTGTGACCCTCGTCGATCTTTTTAAGTGGACAGTTGTGCGAGATTCCCGTTGGCGAGACGGCCGTTACCAAGATATCCTCCGTCTTGGGAGCCCCGGTGGCATTCACCAGCACCTCGACGAGACTGCCCAGGGCGCAGGGTGCCATTCCGGGAGGCGCCACCTGCAGCAAGCGGGGCAGCACGCGGAAGAAGTGTCCTCCCAGGCTATCCTCGCCAATCTCCACCACAATCTCATGCATCCCGTATCGCTCCGGCACGTAGACGCCCTCGCCGTGGGCATTGAGCCGGACGGGCTGGCCGGGTTGTCCGGATGGCGGCACCACGTGGCAGCGAACAGAGCTGAGGCTTATGTCCCGGGACAGCACGTCGATGCGGAAGTGCGTCTGCGTGTGAAACGGACATTAAGAATTAAAATGCATTTTATTCCGTATATTGCCAGATACAAATGTGTTTAAAACAATAGGATTTTTGGTATTCAAAGTAAATATCTTAATAACTATTAAAAAAATAGTTATTTTATCCATTGTTTATTATACTTCCCTCATTTAGAAACCAAAAATTATTATCTATATTTTTGTGAACCCAATTGTTGTGGCATTACATGTATGGCTTTACTCACCGGTTCGCCCACCCGGCCGGATGTGCTCTCCAGGTAGACGTTGACGAGGTCGGAGAGCGGTGGCCTTGGCGGCACCCACTGCAGGTGGGCCGCGTAGGCCATGATGCCCAGGTGCTCCACTTCCGGGTTGGCCATGTCCTTGGCCGTCAGGATGGGCTGCACGCCCAGTCGAGCGCCAGCATCCACGGCCTTCCGAATATTGTTTTCATAATGGAACGGATCGGTGCTGAGTTTTTCCGGGGCAGGAGCAGAACCCCCCAGTCCCTTGATGATTTCGCACATCACACGTCCATCGTTCCAATCGGTCTGCATAATTCATAAGCTTTAAAAATTGCAAATTGAAATAAAAATGACAGAACTCACCGTAAAGTTCTTCACAGGATCTTTGACCTGGGTATTGACCCATCTCATGGTGGCATTGTAGCCTGGTCCACCGGGCTTCATGAAGTACGATAGGTACGTCATTCCGGACAGCTCATCCAGCCAGGGCGAGGCCAGGTACTCCGGCTCGAGAACCTTGGGAACGCCAAACTCCCGCTGCGCCATGTCCATGGCCTGGGTGCAGTTCCGCACACTCTGGCTGGGATCCAGGCTGCGCCAGTGGGGGAAGAGCCCCGGCTGGCAGTAGTCTAGCAATGCTGCCAGGTTGACGCCACTATTCCAGTCGGTTGTTAGGTTGGTGATCTTGCAGTCCGGGAGAGCAGCCTGCAGCCAGGCAAGCATCAGCTTGCGCGGCGGGAACTTGCTCCTTCCGATCTGGTAGCGCACGATCAGGGACCAGATGAGGCCCAGGATCAGCTTGATGTTGCCGTTGACGATGTCCACATTGCCGATATTCACCAGCTTGATGTGGTCCGCTTCGATGGACTTGAGCGCCGTGGTGGCGTTCTCCAGATAGTGATGCTGGTTGGCGGGGCGGCGGTTCCACGAGGGCTTCAGCGGTCGGGTCTGCAGACTCTCAACGAGGGCGCAAAGGCAGGTGCCGTCACAGAAATCCGTGGCCCAGTCATGAACCTGTAATGACGAGCCACAAACTGTTATAATTTCTGCACCATCATTAAAAGTATTGGGAGTTTAAGGTTGTTCCGAACTATAGCAAAGCACCTGCCAAGATACTTCACATCACGCCCTCCCATGTCGGCCTAACAGGCAGCCCCTTCCTAATGAGCAATCAACCGCCCCTTTCGCAAAACTGGTGGCCCACTTCGGTGCTCCAGCTTGAAGCTGGGAGCCACTCGACATGGGAACTAAGGAACTGAGCGGCTTTCTCCGACTCCAGCCCGGGTGCAGCCAATTGTGCGCGATTTTAAGCATTTGACATAAAGCTTTTTATCTACTGGCTGTCAGCATTCCGGCAGAGACTACCTGGAGCTGAAGCTGGAGATGAGGTCGGGGACAATCGCGTGTCTGTTTGCTGTGTGCTGTGTGCTACCTAGGAAAATATTCATTGGATGCCATAAAAATCTCGCACATAGTTGCGCCATCGCTCTCTAACGAGCAACAAAAACAGCCTCGGGCTGTTGTTCTTTTGAGCGCACAACCTTTAAATTTTCGAGATACTTCTG